CCCATCGTGTTTATTGAAATGAACAAACACTGCTTTCAGAATTATGAACAGGGTCGATTGTGATCAAAAAGAGAGACTCACCGACGTAGTGAGATTGGTTCGACCAAAGGAAAATTTGGAGGGCTGAAGCTGAAAGCGTATAATATAAGGAGATACAAAAAGTTGTTTTTTTCGACTTTCTATTTTTTGTTGTCATTTAATAAAAACATTTTTTTAATGAATTTAATATATTTTCAAGTATTATTTTTTTTTAAATAATAACAAAAAATATTTTTCTTTTAATTAAAATATTTTTATTTTTCTCTTACAGGGTATTTATATGTCAATAAAGAACTATTATAAAATTAAAATGCATAAATAAAACACTCGGGTTCTATTTAATGTTTGAAAAGCAGTAAATTATCAATAACATTTCGTCTATCAATATTGAGTTTACAATCAAGCATTTGACCTGAAATTAAAAAAATGGGTCAATGGTTATTATGACATGAAACTGTATTGAAATAGAGATTCACTGTAGCTTAGACTAAAATTAAAGTAAAATCAACAAATCTCTTCTTTAATTTTTTCCGGCCAATTGCTGTATAATTATACTGTGAATCTTTAAAAGTGTTTCAGCTTTGATCTTTTAATCAATTTTCCGAGTTTGCACGTGCAGATTTTCCCAATAAGTCAACTGACGGAGGAGAACGGTGCGTGTCTGTCAGATGTGACATAAAAATAAGTGCACTCTTGGTTATTCACTTGTGCTGCTTCCTCTTTCTCTGTTTACGTCCATCTATCTTTCTGTCTTTCTCTCGTTGGCGCAACCTCAGCAGTGGAAAAATAAGATGCGTGCGGAAAATGGTGTACACGGCCGTGACGCAGCCTCGGGTGGACTAATGCAATTACGAGCCGCGCTCTTTATTTAATAAAGTGTTGTTTGTGCGGCTTCCAAGCATTCGGAAATAGCGTCGCGTTACACACCAACCACCGAGGGGAGATAAATCGTGCACCCACTTTTGGCAAAGATTCTCCTCGCCCACAGTTTCTTCTCCGCGGGCTCGAATTACGACTTCCATGGTCTTGTTTTTTTTTTATGTCTCCGCCCTGGTTTTTGGTTCTCCCTAATGTCCTCCAGTAAAGTAGCGTTTTGAAACTTGTATTTTTTTTTCATTGTTCGACAAAAATCAGAAAACTCTCAGCTGAAATGAACGTTCTTAATTAAAACTAATTACGAGGTGCTTCTTCTATAAAAGGCTCAATAAATTTTTATACATTGCCTTTGGTTTCCAGATGCCAATTCCCAGGAAACACAATAAGAAAAATTTATTTCATTCGTAGTTTTGAATTTTAAAAAACTTATGTGAATTTTCTGAAATAAATTTTCACTCTAAATTGACCTGGATAAAATTCACGTTCATAGCACTCTAATTAAGGAGGCAAAATGAAAGCAATAGCTTCAAATTTCTGCAAAACTTTTCATTGCATATTTATCATGCGCTCCTCGTTAATTCAAAATGTCGTTGATTTTTTATCATTTTACTTCGATTTTAAAATGCATTTATCAACTCAACCAGATTTTACATAAATACAAAAACTGAAGCTTTAATATTTTTTATTATTATATATCGTTTCATACATCGATTTTTGTTAAACATTTGGGTATTGTTCTCCATAAGACCTAAGTAATTGCATATTAGGTTGTATATTTCGCAGCTCCGGTGAAATTTCACTTGGCAATAAAATTTTTTTGAAAAATTATGTTTTCTCTAATTGGTACGAATATATACATTTTCTAACTGGTGTTCGTGACAGCTTTTGCTTTCTGAAACGCAGATCTACTATAATAATTGCATGAGGACAACTTCAAAATTTATGTATTACAAAACAAAATTTAAAAAAATCCATTTAAGAACTATAAAAAATGCAAGTATATTTTTCTTGAATGAAAAATTTATATTAATAAATATAAAGAAAATTTTATAATTTAAAAAACGCAAAAATATTTAAAAGTAAAATAATATCCCTTTTAAGCGTAAACATTTTGTTATTAAAAATTAAACTAGTTACAAAATTTCTGAATATTAAAACAAAATTAATGTATTTTTATAGTTGGTAATATTTTCCTTGCCCAAATTTGTTCGCAATATTTGTGTGTTTTATTAAGTCTCCCCAAGTCGGCCCCATTGCGTCCATTCCAGCCGTTCCCCGGCCATTCCCCAATCAATCCGACCGCAGTTTTTGTTCCGGACCTCTGCTCGTGCGCCTTCTCTCTCTCCGTCTCTTCCGCTCGATGATTGTTAATAATGAATGCACTCGCTCCTGCAATGATCCGGCTGCTGGAAACGTACGTTAATTAAAACCCTCGGCTCGTCGCGCTGGAGTTTCCGTGCGGATTTTATTGTTATTTTGCCGTCTCGCGCGTTGACGAGTCCCGTGATATCGATCCGAGAGCGAAAAGTTTCCGCCTCGCGACATAATTTCCAGCAGCAGCTTTTGACTTACTGTTATATTATTTTCCATGCGGGCGGCGATAAATCTCGAGAGCGTCCCGAGGGAGCCAAATTTACAAGCTGCCGTAATTCGGTTTGCGATTCCGAGGAGAGAAAAAACAAAGAGTTTCGGCTCGGGTGAATTGCTCATTTTATCAGCCAGGAGAGAGAGAAATGAGACGGGCGAGTGCATTTGACGGCGAGTCTTGCAGCTTTTGCTTTCTTTCTTTTTGCGAAGCTTTTTGCCGGAGCAGAGCGCGATTGTTTCTGACGAATGAGAAATGGAGTTGCAGAATCGAGTTTATTCCTTTGACGAACTTCTCGTTTAAAAGCCCACTAATCAAATTTGCGCGCGCCCTGCGAATTAGCTGCCGCTGGAAACAAATTAAGACGCTGGCTGCCAGTTTAATTAAAGTGCGGCAAACAGCGGCGTGCGCTCTCCCAAGATTCCATTTGCAGCGCCAGGTTTGCGAAAGAAAATTTAATATCAAGTTCAAAGTAACTTCTTTGATCGCGGAATTTTGGCCGGTATCTGTAAAAACTAAGAAAAAAAATGCGAATGATTTTGTTCAGCTCAAATAGAAATAAATTATTTAAGATACTTCAATCTTTTTAATTTGCAATTCATGATGAATTGTATTTAATATAATTGTAAAAATTGACTTCAATTAAATAATAAAAATAAATTGATTCCTAAGGAGGCTTTCATGAAGGAAAATTAGAATTTACGATTTGTCGAAAAACCATGCTTTTGTTAAAAAAAACAAACAGTGATCAAAATTGAATCGATCTGTTTATTTTTAAATAAAAAGAAAATTTGAATAATGAAAGTGTCCATTTTTGATTTAAAATCATTTTTAAACTATAAGATCTTTATTTTTACTGATTTTTACGAAAAATCATTTAAACAATTTTATTTTTTACTTCAATATTTAAAATGCAATTCATTTTTTCCATTATTTGACCCACTTTTACCCTCTCAATTCCATTCTGATTATATTCCTGGCCAACGAAAATTGCCAAAGATACGTTATTTTTTACACCCTGCTCTAGATCGAGCGCGACTTTTCTTTCAACGCAAGCTTGCAACACGTTATTAAATTTAGGCCCAGAAACATAACTCGCTCTTTCGCTCTGGCATTCCGACTCATTTTTCCACGACGAAGAATTCGCCCCCAGCCTTGCTGGGAAGACAAAGCGAATAAATTTTTATTAAGGCTCGCGCAGGAACAAAGAGGTAGAAAGGGATTTCATAAATTCGCTGGCGGACGAAATTGTGACTTATTTGCCGTCTCGGCTCAAAGTTTCGCTCGCACAGAGATATTTTATTATTGCCGAGGCTGCAGAGACTCTGGAGTTGACCCTTGATAAAGTTTCGCGACGTGATCCGGCGAATTTCAGAGCCTTCATTTGATTAAAACTGCTCGGCGACGGAAAGGGGTTAGTTAATAACTGGCTCGTCGCGTCCCAAAGGAGTCCTTTCGCAGGCAAAATCGCCCGTTAAATCATTTCTGGTTCGCGAGACTTTATGACAGAAATTTTGATGACGGTGCGCCGGCAGAGTTCAAAGAGAGAAAAGGGCGGCCTGCGAGTGTATTTGTGTGCCGGATAAAAGGGGTTGGAACAAATCAAATACTGAACCCTGTCTAAAATTTGCATGCAATTTGAACGCGAAATAACTAAATTGATCCTAGTCACAACGTTTATGCAGAAACGAAATTGGAACGATGAATTTTAAACATGATTCACCTTCTCACAATTAAAAATGAAATTTTTCAATTGGCGGTGGGTTTACAGTTACAATCAGAAAAAAAGAATTTAAGACTTATATTACGGTTATAAAAAAATCTAAAGTGCAAATTTAAATATGTTATAATTTATTTATTCAGCTCTTGAAATTACTATTTTTGAATAAAAATATTTTGAAAATTTTTGTCCAACACAAAAATGTGAAATAGATCAAAATATCCTCGCACTCTTGGTGATTGCGTCTTATTTAAATGATAAAAGTAGGATAGTGAAATAAAGCCGGTATGTAAAACAACAATCAATGATAAATTTGAAAACTTATTTTGTCGAAAAGTCACTCAGCAATCAAAATCTATATACTATTCTAAATTTTATTGAATTCTCTCTTTTGATTGCATTTGAAGTCTCTCATTTGCAAGACTAACAAAATGAACTGACGAGATACAATATTCAGTATTTCCTTGTGAAGAAAGTCAACAGCAATAATCCTCTCAAAGACTCTGTCATTTCCTCTTTCTCTCCGTCAAATAAATGGAAGGCGCACAAATGAACGAGACGTGATTGCTTTTCCTCCCGTCAAACCTTCGTTTGATTTTTTGCTTTGATCTCTCCGGGCTGATAGACGGGCGAATAATTTGAGCAATTTGCTCCCGGAATTATATTTTATTATTTAAAACTCTTTTGCAACGCCTTTGATGAGAAAGAACGCGAGTATCGACCCGCGTTCCTCTTTTTGCCTTTGCTCGTGTCGCATTATTTTTGTCTTGTGTGTTGCAGAAATTCCAGTCGAAAATGCTTTCATCAAGCGCTTTGAACCGGCTCTCTACGACCGAACGCACTTGGCGAGGCAGCATGCCAGGGTCAGGCGCGACGCGGCGTCGACCACCACGGCGCCGCGGCCTCTCCGACTCGACGTCACCGCTTTCAATAGGTAAGTGTATTGTATGTTCCGATCCATTTATCACATTTCGACTTTGTGAGCTGCTGAAGTTGCAATTCATTTTCAATACCTCGAAGTCAGTTGTTGTGTCAACCAAGTTTTGGCAAACTTCTCAAGATGCCAAAGAAGGGTTTTCTGTGCTCCAATTTAATTGTTCAACTAAACAGCCTCAAACTTTAATTTTTTTTTTTAATCGCCAATTTGATTTGTTTACACTTAAAATTACTTATTGTGATAAAAATCCCCACTTTTTTCCGTAGCCTGAGCATCGTTCTAGATCAGATTTTTATATCCCTGCTTTTTGTCAATAAGCAAAAGCAACAATTTAAAGGGATGGGCACAAAAACTTCACATTTTCGGGGTGGTTACTCTGCTTTCATTCATATATACAATTTTTTTTTAACAATTGGAAAAAATAAGCTACAGTATTAATACAAATTCTCTAATTTACTGATTTTTTTTTTTTTTATTATTATTTTGCTTCTTTACTTCATCTTAAATTTTATCTACATTTATGAGGGCCCAATTATTATTAAAAAAAAAAAACGCTCTCAGAGTATAAAGTCAAAAAAGGCCAGGCACAGAAATTTCTTCCAGGTGATTTCATTTTCCTTTCAAGTCTCTTACCAAATTATCCTTCTTTTTTTTTATGAGATGAAAAAAATCATCTGAACTTGATACACTTGGCCGGGGGTGGGTGAAATTCATCCACTCTCTCATAACGCGGCTGACGAATTTGCCGTTGTCGTCGCCGTCTTCAGTCTGCAGCTGAGGAGACGCGGAATTTAATTACCTGTCGCCCAGCAGCACTCACTCAGCTGCGCCAGATTCTCATTTTCGCGAATTTTTTCCTCTCGTCTGCTGGTCTTCTTAAGTAACACCGATCTCTTCCTCCTTCAAAGAAAGAAAGAAATCGTCTCTTGCCAGGCTTCCTAATTAGGTTCTGATCCCATTCAATCAGAGAGCAACAGGAGTTTTTCGTTCGCACCTCCCAGGTGCTCGCGTGAAAATTAATATTTCCCTCCGTCCGATAAAAAAAGAATTCCTCGTGTGTAATCAAGCTTTTCAGAAACATATCCAGTGACACAGCCAGGCAGCTGCCGTGACTTTCCCTCCGTCTTTTGTCTTTTCTTTCTTTCTCAGCCTTTGTTGGTGACAAATCGAGAGGCAGCAAAAAATAAACCCGATTAATTATGCACGACACACGCTTGTTGCAGGACTTTTAAGTTGCACCTCTTCCCGGACGTCTCCGTCTTTTCCAACGACGTCTCCTTTGAGAGCACCAGAGGACCCGTTTCTTTCGATCTCGACCGAGCTTATCAAGGAACTCTTGACGGTAAGCATCATTTTGTATTGACTTTTATGTCTGGAAATTATTTTCCAATAAAACAACATGAAAAACAATCAATTATATTATAACCTAATAATAAAACCGCTTATTTTGTCTTGATTCAAAATTTACATCCTACTCACACACAAAAATCTGAGTTGTTATTTCATATTTCACACCAGATATTTATATTTTCTGGCTCATTGAAATATGAAAATAAAAATGTTCATCCGACAAATGTTTCAACAAGAACATTTTTTGTTTTAGAGCTCCTTTGAATATATTTATGTTCTTGATAATGAACAATTAATTATTCAGTTCAATTCCTTTGATTTTTTTCCAAATAATTAGCAAGAATTAAAAAAGTGTTCTATTAATGGAGGTAATTTTTTATGTGATGAAGAAGCAAAAGGAAGCAATACAAATTTTTATATAAAAAACCAAAACTGTTATAAGATACAATGATTTAGTTATCTGGGATTTTATTTTTTAACCTTTTTAGATTTTTATGATGAAAATTCCGTAAAATTTCTGCTTTCATTTTTGATGGTGACTAAAATTGCGAGCCTTTGTTACTATTTTATCCATCAATTCAGCAATAGAGTGTCATAAATATAATTTCAAAAATATCGAGTTGCTTTTTCCTCGAATTACGTGTTTTCCATGCCAAATGACTGACGGACGTTATTTCACTCTCGCTTTTTCCCCTGGCAAAACGAAACGCAATAACAAAAATGAATATTTCCACGCTGCGCTGATATTGCCCTGGTTTTTTCCTCCCTTTTTCCACTCGTGTGCCAGTCGATGTAATGTTTTATATCCCATTAATTTATTCGGCCAGGATTAAAGCCACCCTTGATGTGCGCCAAAATAAATTGCGAAAAAATGCTAAATCCACGCTGAAAGCATAAAACGCGAGCTTTTTTGTTCGCATTCGCTCACGCATGAATATTAATTGCAATTTTTTTCCCACTCGGGTTAATTGCGAATTAAAAGAGCGACTTTTCCAAACGACCTATCGCGAACAATGCCGCAAATTCGAATTCAGTGCGCAGCTGATTGTTTCTCACTTCTTTAACTGATAATAAAACCGCAAATTTGCATTTCAGACGACGAGTCCGTGGAAGTGAAGGGCCTGGTCACCTCGGAAGGCCTCTTCGACGGCTCCCTCACTTGGCCCAATGGCGAATCCATCTACATTGAGCCCACCTCAAGGTGAGCATTCAAATCAGATTTGCATTTTCTGGCTCATTTAAACTGGAAAATCAAATCTCACTTAACAGACAATTTTTTTAAATAAATTGTTGTTAATTTTAAAGGCTCTTGCTAAGTAAGTAATTTAATATTAAAAATAAAAATTACATTTTCAATTTTTGAACTTAATTTATTTTATGTATATTTTAATTTTAATTTAAATATATTTATAAGAATACATTATTTTATTTTTTATAGATAAATTTATTAACCTTTCTGTGGAGTCTGTAAATAAAATTTTAAAAATAGCTATTTTTTATTATAAATGAATAAATATATGAATTGCAAATCTCAATCTCAATTATTTATATTTGAGAAATTATTTTCTCAATCAGTTCTTGTAGAGTAATTTACGTAAAAAATTTGAAACTGAAATTTCTGAAATAATGGAATTTAAATAATGTAGCTAGCGATTAACTAACAAATGGGAATCAACTTTTTATTCCAATTCTGCCATCAGGTATGTGCAGGAACTGTCCGACTCAGCGCCGCACTCGGTGGTCTACAGGTCAGAGGACGTGCGCGACCCCGACCTGCCGACATGCGCCTCGCAAGACCTGCACGACCGGCTTCAGGACAAGATGCCGGCGACAAAAAACAACGCGACCCGTCGCAAGCGGTGGCTGCACGGCGGGCGGAACAAAAGGGCCGCCGCCATCGACCCCCATAAGACCACTTGCATGCTCTACCTGCAGGCCGACCACCTGTTCTACCAGAAGTTCGGCTCCGAAGAGGCGTGCATAGAAGTTATGACCCGACACGTCCAAAGGGTCAACTCAATCTACCATGGGACAGGTATTTTTACTCATAATCAGTTTTGCTGGAAAATAATAAATAAAATTAAGACTTTATTTGCAAAAAAAAATTTTAAAATTAAGGAATTATTTTGGTATTTGTAGAAGTAAATTTATTTATTTACTTTCCATTCAGATACATTTAAAAAAAAACATATAATCTCAAATCAATTTATCAAAATCAAATTAAAAGCGAAAACTGAAAATAAAAATAATGTTGGTAAAAACTGTGTTCGTCTTATTCTTTGTTGAAACTTTTTTTAGGTTTCATTTGCAATCATTTTGAGTTGACAAATTATTTTCATTCCAGATTTCGACCAAGACGGAAAGACTGACAGTATTAGTTTCATGATCAAACGAATCAAAGTTCATTCCGCGGACGCGCTCAACGATACTAGCTATAGGTTTCCCAGCAACTATGGAGTAGAGAAATTTCTCGAGCTATTTTCAGGTAATAATTTCACCTCTTGCTCCCTGCGTGGAGCACCGTGGGGGCGAGGAGATGACATTGACGGGAATTAAAACTTTGCAACTTTCCACAGAGGAGGACTACGACGCCTTCTGCTTGGCTTACATGTTCACCTACCGAGACTTCGAGATGGGAACTCTGGGTCTCGCGTGGACTGGGGATCTCAAGAACGCAGGAGGTGTTTGCGAGAAAAATGGGGTAAGTTTTGACGTTTGCCTATGTGCCTCTTGATCGTGCAAGTTCGGAATTAAATTTAGGAAAGTTCGCACGGATTACCTGTCCGGAAAAAGTTTAAGAGTTGTCTATTTTATTATTAATGGAAAATTCAATTTCGTTACATGGGAATTTTTTATTCCAGCATTACCGCGGCTCAATGAAGAGTCTGAACACAGGCATAGTTACGCTTCTCAACTACGGCAAACACGTGCCACCAGCTGTGTCCCACGTCACTCTAGCCCACGAGATTGGCCACAACTTTGGCTCTCCAGTAAGTTGAAATAACTTTTTACAAATTTTGCTTTCTAATTTAAGTTTCTTGCATAAAAAATAACCTATTTCAAGTTTTAAGAAGTTAAATGAGACATTTTTTCACTTTTGAAGGGGGTGAAAAGAGTTTTTTTTAATTCTGCCCCTATAATTGTTAAATAAGTTAATTGTATATTGCTGATTAATTAGTAATATTGGATCAATTTTAATACTTTGAGTTTTCTTACATTTCAATTTCAACCAGCCTTCTATAAAACAAAATTTCCTTTGATATATCAATTAATGTTTAATGTAATCAATGAATTCTCATTTACGTGTTTTATTTAAAACGCTAATTTTGTTTCTCTAATTTTAGCACGATCCCGAAAATTGCACGCCTGGAGGTGAGGACGGCAACTTCATCATGTTCGCCCGAGCCACTTCCGGTGACAAACGAAACAACAACAGATTTTCGCCCTGCAGCCTTGACTCGATCAGTCCGGTGCTGGCGGCCAAAGCCAGGAGCAGCCGCGGCTGCTTCACAGAGCCCCAGACTGCCATTTGCGGCAACGGAGTCGTCGAGCCTGGCGAGGATTGTGACTGCGGCTGGGAGTCGGACTGCAGAGACTCCTGCTGCTTCCCCATGTCCAGCAACCCCCGACCCAACGAACCCCCTTGCAGACTCACCCCCAAGAGCTCCTGCAGCCCCTCTCAAGTAAGTTCCACTTTTTGAAATTGGTTTTATTGAATTATCCAATTCTAGACTTTTCTTTAAATTTTACTTTGGTTTTCCCTTCTGTTTCCTTCTTTAGGGCAAAAATGGAGAGGTCAGACTAAAAAATTCTGAATTCATTTTTGTAGTTTGTTTTAACATTGCATGCATTTTATTCCTAAGCCCCTGACCTTTCATATCAATTAAATTAGTTATCATGCTTACTTTAAGAATTTTCTTCCAATTTCTGCTTAATTTTATTTGGAGAGCTAATTAAAAAACAATTTAACAGGGACCCTGCTGCACGAGTGAGTGTCAACTGAAGTATGGTGACAAGTGCAGAGATGACAATGGTTGTCGCGACGCCAGCTACTGTGATGGTAGAGGACCTGCGTGCCCCCCTTCCACAAACAAACCCAACAAGACTGTTTGCAACGAAGAGTTTGTTTGCTTCATGGGGGTAAGAGAGTGGCGTTTAATTATTTTTTTGGGGCGGATTTCCCTAATGGAAAATTGTCATTGTTGCAGGAGTGCACCGGCTCCATCTGTTTGGCTTATGGGCTGGAGTCGTGCCAATGCATCCCTGGACCCAGGGACCCTCCGACCAAAGCGTGCGAGCTTTGCTGCAAATCTCCCGGAGATGACCAGCCATGCCTGTACGTCTAAAGAACAATTTGAATCTCTTTATTTTACAAATATAATTTAATTTCTGCTTCATTATTTAAATAACTTTTTAAACATAATTTTAATTTCCAGCTCATCTTTTGATTGGAATCTACCTCCGTTTGATATTCCTGATTTATACTCCAAGCCTGGTACACCATGCAACAATTACATTGGATATTGTGATGTCTTCCAGAAGTGTAGAGAGGTAAAGAGAAAATTTAATTTTCAAAATTGAACTTAGCTTAAAATGTTAATCAGGTTGACCCGTCTGGTCCTTTGGCAACCCTTCGCAAATTGCTGCTTTCCGATGAGAGTCTGGCCTCAGTCAAGAAATGGGTCGGCCAACACTGGTATCTCATCGTCCTAATTGTAGTCGTTGTCATCTCGCTAATGGTGAGTGTAAGAAATGATTTTATGCTTTACTTGCATGGCATGAATATTTATTTCTCATCATGGATGCAGGGTTTTGTTTGCTCAATTTTTGAAATGGTGCAGCGACAAAAGAGAATGAGAAACAAGGAGTCCGTTGATTTGATCAAAGCAGTACCGTAACTGCTCAACTGCAAGTTTCTTTTTCAATCTCTTGCAGTAAAATTAGTTTCAAGCTAGATTATTATTCTTCCAGTTGATTCGAATTTTCCTCAATTCCAATTTATTGAAAAACAAAGTAATATATTTCGCGACATTTTTTTTACTCTGATGTTTTTTATGTTCATTATTTTAGTGCTTCTATTTTATTTTGCCTCTAGCAATTTATGTTTACCCTTATCTATGATTTAATCTCACAAAATAATAAGAAATGTTGTGAATATATTTTCGTTATTTTATAATAATTTAATTGCATCGCAATTTAACAATATATTTGTATTCTTCAATCAAAGTTCTTTGAATATTTTTTAAGAAAAATTAATTTATGTTATCATCCATTAAATCATATCATTAGAAACCATAAAATAAACTTCAATTTTAAATTCTACTAGTCATTCTATACTGCCAGATTTGCTTTAAAAATCTTTGAATTCGATTTCGGTACTAATTTTTAAATTCTTCTTCAGGTAATGATTGCCAAGGCATTTGGCCGCAGAGACGACAGCAAACTGCGCGCCGTCACCATCCTCCACACTGGCAACGCCACCGAACAAGTTCGACTTCCACCAGGGGGTGGTTTGACCGTTCACCCAGGGGTGCGCAGCAAACTACCCTTAGGAAAACGAGTGCGCGCCAAAGTGAGCAAGAAAAGTGGAAACACTTCAGCAGCCACCCCCGCCTCGGCCAACGCCTCACCCGAAAAGCAGCAGAAAAAGCGACGCCGACGAAGAAAAGAGGTCATCGACTACAGCGGGGAGAAGTCGGCGGCCAACAAGACCAGCCTGGCCGCTGCCGACCCTGTCACAGGCACCGTGGCCGCCGACGATCCCTTGGGCAAAGTCCGGAATTGGCTGATTTCGAGCAACCCAGCGCCGTCGGCGCCTCCGAAGAAAAAATCTCCCCACATGCCCAAGAGCAAATCAACTCCAGCCGCCCTTGCTGGAACACCGCAGCCAGTGGCCGCCGCTCCTCCGGTGGCGGCCACCCCTAGAGTGGCCACGGCTGTGGTCCTGCCTAGAAGTAGCAACAAAACGAGAAGCAAATCCCACAGTTTAGGCAACCTGCAGGCCAAGTCGGGGGCGAAACTGCAGCTGCTGTACAAACCACCCTTCAAACTGACCGTCAAACTCAAAAAGAGGGAGGACGGCCGGGCGGCAGCGGCCGCTGTGGCCCGCGGCCGGACTGCCCTGCTCATCAGCAGGGGTGGCCGAGGAGGGGCTGACAAAAGTCGGGGGGAGGGGAAGAATAAGGCGGCTCTCAGGGCCGAGGACTTGGATGTGACCACGGTGGTGCCATCGGACCGGGCGGTGCTCATCAACTCTGGTCCGGTGGTCACCTAACAGAAAAAGTGCCAACTTGTCAGGACGAACTACTTTTTCAGCAGCTGTGTGATCCTTTTTTACTGCTAGCGAACGAAAAACCTCGATCAATGTGTAAAACTTATTAATTTTAAAATAATTCCCAGGTCACTCTCAATCTTGTAATTATTATTGTTGCTACCGTCTGATTATAAACCGTCACCAAATGAATCGCTTTTGATTTTTCACTTTCGACGAACCAGCTGGGACCAGAAGTCAAAATATTTCTCAGAAGAATAATAAACGTCCCCATCGAAATTATTTACCGTGTGCTTGGTGAAGTGAAGATCTTTGATTTTTGCAAAGGAAGAATGCCAATTAAGAAGGTGTTGAATTTTATCAACGCCTTGATTACCTACATATTTACATGATAAACGGAGGTTTAGCTAGAAGAAAATTAATGTGCGATTTTCTAACAATTTCATATCTTTCTCCGTCAGTAAAATAATGGTTTGAATCTCTACTTTGTCCAAATTGGCGTTGCAAATGTTCTCTTTAAGTAGTTGGAGTGTTGTTGAACATTTTCCTTGTCAGGGAGAATAAATTTGGCTCCTGTGGAAACATTTTTGAAAATAATTACCACAATCTCAGAACTTAAAGCATTTCCATCTTCATCATCACTCGGGAGCGTACTTAAAAAAAAAGGTGCAATGTGTTTAATTGTGAGCGTGTACGAAAAATTCAATTTCAAATGTCTTCATGTTGTTTGTATAGGAACGAATGGAGGAACAATAAGATTATAATATGTCATCCGTATAATATTAATTTAACTTGAAAATGAAGACACAACGTGATAAACTAATCCAAAAATGATATTGAATAATGTTTAAAATACGAATTATGTGCGTAATTACAATGAAATGCGTCGGTACGTTTTGTTGCTGTAAAAATTGGTGTTGTCGAATGTTTGTTGCGTTTGAAAAACTCGAGTGCGCGCTGCGACTTCTTCTTAGCCGCTAGAAATTTTTGAGAGTGCTAAGAAAACTTGTGCAAAAGCAGGCACGTCGGGTGAAACACGTTTAATATGTTGTGAAAATGCTGTAACGAAAAAAATCAGTTCACAAATATATTTTAAATGTTTTAACATAAAATGCAGCCTTGTTTTATTGATTAATGCAATTGAAATATAGCCGCATTTATTGAAATATCATTACGTTTTTATGGAAAGAAAGAACCAAAAAATCAGCTCTTGTGGAATTTGATGACAAAAGTGTCTTCGTACGAAGGTGGCAGGTCTTCCATCTGGTAAACCGGCGGCCGATCAATCACTTGGCAAGTGGCCACAGGGGAAAGAACACTCGTAAAGTGGTGCACCTCGTTCTCCGAAGACGGAGAGCCAAATGTGGAGTAGTTGAGATCATTCAAAAGATGCCTAATTTTTTTAATTAACATCCGAGTTTTTCTTCACGAAGATAAACAAAAAATTTACCCATTAGTTTGCTTCTTCTTCAAACAGGTGACTAAAAAGAAAGAGATGGCAATCGTGAGCCCTAAACCGACAGCAAGCCACACGACCACTGTCATGAAATCTGGATACACCGGCCAACTTAATATTTAAAATTTTACATTAATTATTAAAACATTAAAAAAAACTCATATTGAACTCACAAGCAGTGTCCGTCGTCTGCCATAAATCCTCTGGCACAGTCACAAACCAATTCTTTCCGATCCAAAACCCACAGGCACGAAAGAGTTTCGCAACACTGTTTGAATTCTGGATCGTCCCCATGAAGACTACATTTGTTTCCATAAACTACATATAAAAAACAAAAATTAAAGTCAATCATTATTATTGCTTATTTTTCATTTACGCGCGCAATTTTCCTCCTGCGAGCTTAGGAAGATCGACTTGAATCCGTTCAATAATTGACTGGCTGACTTTCGAATATTAATTTCTGAATTATCTGAAATTTGCAATTTTAGCAAGAATAGTTTTTTATATCCTTTAAAATTAACAAACCTGAGCGCTCAGCATCATTAGTCAAAAATTCTCCTTCGTCAAATTGTGCATGAGCACCTGCTAATAACAGTGCAAGTAGAAAAAGGACTATGACAGGACCGATTTTTACTCTCATGATTGTTGAGCTGTGCAGATTTCTTCACATATAAACCGCTTAATCTGGCGCAAAATGATTCTTATCTCTAAAATAAAGTACTCTTTTCCGTCTCACACACCTCTTATCACTCAAAGTCACACAGCAGACCGTGTGACGCGAAAATCTAGCGAGGCTGTCAATTTTGTGGGACCACAAAAAAAAACTGATTTTTGGCACTGATATGTTTTTCTTAAGTTATTATCAATAAAAATCACTTTATGGAATTTTTGATATTCAATGCATTTTTATTGTAAGCTCGTTTGTGCGTTTTAATAAATTAACAAAATAAAACTATTCAACAATTAATAAACAATAGGTTTTTTTAACATTTTCCTATGCGCAAAATACGTTATAATTAGGAATGCAAAGTTTCGTGTGCGACTTGCTGGTTACTTTGGAATGCGTGTCTGTGGTTATCACAGGTGAGTTACCGTTTTAATTTTACTTGTCGTTGTTTGTCAATGATTTGATTGTCAAGGTCCACTTTTCCAGCAGAGGATTGTAGACCTTAAAATGCCAAAATTAAAAGTTATTAAATATTGGAAAAATAATTTGTTTAAAAATTTTCACCTCTTGTGCGTCAGCGTAAGGAGTGCAAAGCGGCTCTTCGGCGCCTCTAAACTTGGCTGCCAATTCTGAGAAGGGCTTGTCAGGCTGTCTGACTAAATGATAAGCTCTAAAGGCTCCACCTTGCGCGGCAGAATTAACTCCGTCCTAAATGGAATTAAATATAAAATAATTTACGGTAATAATGAATTGATAAACAAAATGTGTTAAAACCGTGTTTTCCAATAAAAATTCATAAATAAAAACCATGGTAAAAATCGATACAGCAACTTTTTTGCAAAAAGTGTTGTCGTTTCTTCACGTTTTATAATTTTGCTCTTCTATTTTGACTCTATTTGTGAAAAATTTAAATAAAAATAATAATTGCTTAATCAATTAAAATAAATACCTGAACATAGACCGGGGCGTTAAAAACGTCAGCATAGACTTGGAGCAAATGCTTGTTCCTCGAAGCTCCCCCCGTTGCAACAATTTTCAAATTCGAGCCTAAAACAATGGTTAAATATATATTCTTCTTAATTTTTATTTTTCAAGCCGAGAAAATTAATTACAGAAATTCTTCCCAAGCTGCGTCTCCAAAGCCGCTCTCCTGCTCAGGGCTTGGCCCTCAACCAAGGCCCGAATTTCTATTTCGGGGCTTGAAAAATGAGAAACTTCAACTCCTGCCGCATTGTATCTTTTCTCCGTCGGCTCGACTCCAGGTAGAAGAGGTTCAGGAACGTCCAAGAAGATGCCAAAGTTGCCAAAATTCCCTCTCGGCATGCTGTCCAACAAAGAGTTGAACTCATCCCAGCTGCCCTTGGCCACTTTGTTCCTCAATCTTTCTCTGGTCAGAGAGCCGTTTGCAAAACTGCAAAATCATATCTTAATTATTGGTGGAAATTTTAAAAAAATTTCTGACGCACCATAGAAGGGCCATGTAATGTTCTGGCTCAACAGGGTTGCACAAGAGGTGGCCGAGCCCTTCTGGTAAGGTGCAATATTCAGAGACCCATGCAAAAAGAGTGTCACTTGAACCAAGGCTGAGAGCAATTTCATTCGGTCCCAAGCAGAGACCTAGAAAATGAAAATGTAGTTCATATTTTTCAAACTTGATAATTTCTTGCCCAACCTGCCAGTGATGATGGGTTGTCACCAGTAAATGCAACAATTTGGCAGTCGGAATCGAAGCAAAAACGATCAACGAAATAGGAAGAAATTTTCCCGAGAACGGTTTGGGTCTTGCAAGGCTCACTCAGTTTCGCTTCCAAATCTGGCGCGCATGCCTAAAAATGCACATTCCAAACGTTTCCATTAATCTACTTTTGAAATTACAAAGGGAACCTACATCAATGCAATTATGGTCCCACTCATGAGTTTTGATGTCCAGCAAGTTCATTCCAGACCCGTCGGACCAATCGATCGGCGCATAACGACCGAGGAAAATTGAGCACAAAAAGCTGCTGATCAGGGATATTCGCTAAAGATGTTAAAATTTAAACAGTTAAAATTGGTCTTTAATCTTTAATTAAAATATTACCTCCGTGTTGTTGTAGATCTGAGTTTTGGTTTCATAAACCTTGCAGATTTGTGGACCAGAAAAGCGCTCGTGGGCTGGCGAACCAGTTATCTCTGATAAGCTCTAGAATTAAAAAATAAATTACATAGTTTATTTCAGATTCAATTTAAAATGCTAATTAAAAATTAGTTCATTGAAATTCATAAATATTTAAAATTACTAATAAATACTTTCTAATTGAAAGTAGATGATAAAAATAATTGCACAAAGAAATTTATTTGCATAAAAATTAGTATTCAAAAAATCAAAAAGAATAAATTATTTTTATATAATAAAATTATACTAAATACTGAAAATTATTATAGCAATGATTCACATAAATTAAGTTAAGGGTCCATAAATTTCCATCCAACATACCCAAATTCATTTTTGAAATTTGCCAAGCAAAAACGAAAAAACCTTTACCTTCAAAAGTAAATTGTGCAAAAAAAATCTAATTTTGGCAATTCTGCACACTTACCAGATCAGCTTCTTGAAGGATTTTGCTCATTTTTGCGCACTGCTTGGTAGTGGTGTGGTCGCGCCAGATGGGCGAGTTGGGCAGCGAAAAGCAGGAGGCCATCTGCGTGTGGAGGAATGTGGAAGGGCTGAGGGTGGCCATGGTCCTTTCGGCGCCCTTGTGCCAAAAGACGGTGCCATGCTGCTGGGCGGCGCCCGAGACGCCCTTGATGCGGCCGAAAAGTTCGCCCTGACCCCAGTTGACGCGCAGACGGTCCATCAGGATGTCCAGCGCCTTCAGCCACATGTTTGGACATGCAGTGACCTCAGGCACTTTTGCTTTGCTGGTGTTGAAACCACCCTGGGTTCTGAAATAATTCAAATAATTTTTAATAATAATTTTTCAATGGTTATATGTTGGCCATCCATTTACTTATTAATTTCTATAGTCAATCAGATATTTAGAAAATTTATTCCACACTCCAAGGCTCTAGTGATCGACATGACCAATTATTATAGATTCTTAATTTGACATGGGTTTAAGAAATGAAAATTTATAAATATCTATATGCGAATGAAAAAAAAATTTGATATTAAAAATCATCGAGTGGAATGAAATTCTTATAAATTTGTGGTAATTATTAATAAAATTAAAACGTAAATAAATTTAAAAAATTTAATACTTTCAATAAAATAATAAGAAGGCAAATTTAAATAAATATAAAATTAAAGTAAAAAATGTACTAAAAAATTATAAAATGCGCTCATGATTTAGTTTTTTTTTTATAAAGTGGCATACGAAAAATTACCAGCAGACTTGTGTTTTGTATTTTTAATTACAACAATAATTAAAAGTTGAACTTTTTAACTGTATAGCTACCTAAATTCTGGAAGCTCGTTGTCATACTGCACGTGAGCTTCGTGGACCACTTGCAGATTCTCGTCAACAATCACTGCTTTCAGCTGCAAAATTTTGAATTAAATTAAAACAAAATTCCCTTCTTTTGAGATGATTTTTAATAATTTCACCTGCTGAGTGCTTAAATCCAAGCCCAAAAACAGAGGACCTTCCTCGTCTCGATCCATCTCGTTATATGATCTCAATTGGAAACCTTTCGCCAGCGCGTTCACATTCTGCTACTATTGTTTTATCTGCAGCGGCGTTTTGATAACGAGGTCACTGGCAGGTCATGTGAAGGCGCGTCCAATCACGGTTGTTGCAAGAGATCAATGGCTCTGCACTTGTGAATCGTACTGGAGGAAGGAGAACCGAGCCCTTCTTATCTTGGCGAAATTTGGGCGAGATCGAGACTAATGAACGTAGTGGAACGAAGTGTCAATAACAGCTGGATATGGAAAACAAGTCTCCAGTCACCAGAGCAACGGACCGAGACTGCAGAGCTTTACAATTTGGCCGTTAGATAGCGTATTTTTAACTATATTTAATTATAATTTTAGTTTCTAAAAAAAACTTGCTAAGCAAGCCCATTACAAATTTGTCAACACAAATTATATTTTTATTTATTATATTTAAACTATTTTATTTATTATTTGTATAATCTTTGTGCTGTTATTATATTATTTTTAAAGTTTTATTTATTAAAAATAATTTAAACTTAAACATGATGTTTAATTATTAAATTTGTATATTAATCTTGCCCATAATTATATTGAGTAATTATGTTATACAAACGCAGAATTCATGTGTCTTTGTGTATTCAAATTCAATAATTATTAAATGAAACGGTTATCAATAATTATGGCTCTTAACTTAAATTTTTATCACCGATAAATATTGTTATGAATATTGATTCCAAACCTGAATTCTAGCAGACGTCAACATGCAACACAATACATGAGCCCCAGATTCTTGACAATCTCAACAGGCTAGGCTCTTTTTTATGTGATCTAAATATATTGTGTAATTAATTAAACAGTAAACATTTGATGTTTCAATGTCCAATACGGTCCAATAGAACTAAAAAAAAAATTTATATTTATCATAATTTTGTATCAAATAATTTGTATTACGTAACAATTTATCTGTTGATTTATTTATTTATTCTACATTAGATTTTTGTTATCAATAAATCAAAAAATTTGGTTTTTAAAATACGGTTCTTTTAATAAATACAATTCTTTTAAATTGAAATTTATTTCCACGTATAATTTATTTGTGCGATCAGATCACATAGGAGAAGTGTATAATAAATAATCAAGCCGCTCCTTCCTCGTTTTCTCATAAAAATTATAATTAGTTTTCGCAATAGTATTTGATTTATAACCCTTCTCTACGGACACATTAATTATTGTTCCCCTTTATTAACATTTCCTCCAATACAACAAAACAGCACCGCAGGTCAACAAGATTATTTCCACACTTTAATCAGATCCAAATTATTAAAAGCTTGACAAGGGCGTGAAATAAAAAGCAGAATCTCTGATGCATCACAGAGGCGAACCGCAGGTGCTGGGCAAAAAATAGAGCCGATTTTTTGCCCAATGCACGCCGTCCGAGCATACCAATGACGCACAACATGCAGCGCGGCACAATATAATATAAATGCAACAATATACGAATATTCCATTTGAAGGAACTTTTTGGCAAAAAGTGGCCATCGTAGCTAAGGTGCAAGTCAGGGGATAAAGGTGCCCTTGACAGAGACGCTATAAAAGAAGCGGTCCCTGGTTTGCGGAACCAAACGCTCCTTGAATTCTTTCACAGACACACACACGCAGGTAAGCCTCCGCAGATCTAATCATAAATTACCTCAATCTTGTCAGCATGCTATTCAGTGTAAAAAGAAAATCAACCAATTTAATTTTATTTCAAAAATTCAAATAATGAACTATTTTTTCCAGTTAAATTGGTTCCGTAAAAAAATTAATTTTTTTTATAGATTCAATTAAATATGAAGTTCGCGGTTGCTTCTCTGGCCTTTGTCCTTCTTGTGGCCGCTGTCCACTCGGCCCCTGCCCCTCAGGAACAAGGTGCAGCACAAGGTCTGGGCGGAGGTTTCGGCGTCAACAACAGCCCCCTTTCGCAACTCCTGCAGGATGCCCTCTTGGTGAGATAAACTTTCAATACCGCAACAAGTCTATTCGCACTCCAAAAGATTTTAGAAAAATGTAGTCTTTTTTAATGAATTATATTCCAAATTGCGTAGGAAACCTCTGCCAATCAAGAGGCTAGGTCGCGACCAATTAGGCAGTTAGAAATGCCAAATAGCCCCCTCAGTCAGCTTCTCTATGATATTTTGCAAGTAAGATGACATTTTAAACTATTGGCCCTGGTATTTTTCCTATATTATTTACAATGTGTATTAGGTCGAAAATAATAATCATTTTATTGTTAAGCTTTATGTACCAAAATTTTAATTCCACAGATTCCCCAAGCCGCTCTGCAGGCAGTTTCGAGGCTGCTGACCAACCCTGGCAACACCATTGGACAAAGCTTTAACTACGCCTCTACAAGGAGAAACCAAATTCCAAATGCTTAATTCCGAAGAGAAAAAACAAAGGAATTTAATTTTTAAGTTCAACTAAACATCTATTTAAATTGCCAATAATGTAAACTGACAAATTATAAAATAAAAAATAAAATGTTACAATAAAAAATAAAATAATACATATTATTAATCGATTTCTAACTTTTTATTCATTTCCTATTAAAATATTCCATAAATTATTGAGAAATGCTGTGAGCTAGCTTTTCAAATTTAATTATGTATATGATAAATATAATGGAATTGAAAATAATTTAGAAACAAAAAAATGTAAAAAAAACCTTTACCAAACCAAAATGAAAGCATATTCTCACACTTTGTCTTTGACTGCCCACAAAAATAATAATAATAATATTGAAAAATAAAAATCAAACGTGAGATGAAATGAGAGCAAACTTTAGCATAGGCGGAAATGACGATGCTTTCAGCCGTGGCATGGATGTCAGTGCGAACCGAATTCAAGCATTGTCTGGATATATTTCACAAAATGAAGCGCTAGTATGAAATCGAGGGCCTTGGTGTTTTTTCTCACAGCTCAAGTATAACAAATTTTGGTATACAGAAGCTTAAAAACATAATTAAAAACAGATTTTGAACACTGCAGCATGGCTGGGCCCGTTCTCGACCGCCAAGAAGGCGCGAAGTCTCGCGATTCGAGCGAAAAATAAGCCACTTACGAGTTACAGCAAGAATGAGTGGGATGCACTTGGCGACTCGCTGGAGCCAAAGCTTGATGGACCAATTATTAATCTCATTAATGACACCAGACCTCCAAATTCAACCAAACGTATAACTTTTATATTCACTTTGCAGTAATTAAATTAAACAAAATATTGATGAAATATTCTAGAAAATTCACTGATATAAAAAGCTTAATTTTTTTTTTCAATCTATTCATTTTAATTTTTGGTCTGTTTTTGGTATAATTATTTCCCAAAAACTAGATTCAAATTTTATTTCAAACAAATTATTTAAATTTTCAGCTCCTGAAAAGAGCGAAAAAATCATAAATGGACGCAGAGCAATTCGGGGGCAGAATCCCTATCAGGTCGGAATTATGATGGACCAAGAAAGTTTTTGCGGTGGTGCTCTGATTTCGGCAGATTACGTCATCACGGCTGCACATTGCATGGAAAGGTTGGTTTTGTTAACAAATATTTGTTGGAATTAATGTAGGAGTATTTTGTTATGTATAGGAATTCCTACATCTTGATCTTTGGTGCACAAAACAGAAGTGCTTTCGAAGCGGGAAGGTTGACGATTGAGACAAATAAATTTCTTTTGCACCCCAAATGGGACTCCAAGTTGATTGTGAACGACCTAGCTTTGTTCCCCTTGCCATTTTCTGTTCCTTTCTCAAGTAGGTAGTGAATTTTTTTTAATGATTTAGATCTTTCTCTATTCTATAATAATAAAAATCAAACTAAATAATATCTTTCAAAGTGAAAAAAAAATGTTAAAATTAAAAGTAAACTTTAAAATTAGAAATTCATATTGTAAGATTATATTTTAAAATGTTTAAGGTAATCTCATTTAATTTTAAGATTTCATAAAACCCATCCGTCTTCCTCGAAGATCTCTCGCCTTCGCAAACTTAGACAACACAAATGTGACGGTTTGCGGATGGGGACTAACAAATGATGGTGACTCAAGCAGCGACACGATTATTACTTTTTTCTAACAATATTAAAACAGGTGGAACTGCGAGCTCGATCCTGTCTTGCGCGCAGCACAAACTTATTGTGAACACGGAATGCGCCAAACTTTACGGCGTGCAGAGTTTTAAGTCATCCAATTTGTGCGCACAGGGCTACAAAGATCAGTCGACGTGCCAAGTAAAAATAAAATAACCGCAGGAATTTTAAATTACAATAATAATTATGGAACATTAATTAGGGGGACAGTGGCGGACCGGTGGCGATGACCGAGAAGGACAATTTGCCGACCTTAATTGGGGTCGTCTCGTACGGGGCATCAGCCAGTTGTGAAAACGGATTTCCAGATGTTTTCACCAGGGTGTCCAGTTATTTGAGCTGGATTTCAAATGTTACGGGTATTGCAATCAGACGATGATAAAAAATTGAAAATTATAACATTGAAATCAATAAAAATAAAATTTTAATAGCAGTTCTCAAATTATTTAAAATGTTTGCAATTTATGTTAGTATATAGAATTTATTTTTATATGGATCAGAATACAAAATTCGTTTCATTATTATTTAATTAATGGCCATTTCACTACTGAAAAAATATTAGTTCAAAATAAAATAACTATCCTCAAATATTATTAATTTGTAATTAATATTAACATTCAGATAATATATAATATTATGATAATAAAATATATTTATATATTTATTTAAAATATGATTTCTATCAATTTTAACATTTTGTACGACAGAGAATGAACAATAATAATTTTCATTAACACTTAATGTTGATTTTAAATTTGATAAATTCTCTACCTAGTAATTATTATAATGAATTCAGGTCCTGATATTTTGATTAAAATTATAATATAATAATGATAAAAAATTGAAAATTATAAAAAGAAACAGATGCAAGTGCATCAATGATAATACAAGCTTAGTGTAAGGGAAGCTTCTACGCATGTAAATAGATGGCTCTGGTTTATATTTGGATGGGGAGTTGCCATCAGTGAATTCGGAGAACAAAACTTGGAACAATCGGAAGTCGGAAGGACAGAATTAATTCACTAGACAAACCAAAATTCTTTATAATTAAAAATCATTTTAAAATCATCTACATTCCAATATCCTACTGTAATGCTTCCCTCTTTTTCTAATTCTGCGTGAGTTTATAAAATTTTAATAAAATAATGATTATGTCAATATCATTTAATTAAAATACTGTTAAATTATTATTTTGCCAAGTGAATTAAAGCTATAAGAGAAAAAAATTTGAACCTATTTTAACTACAGGACCAGAGATCAGAGCATAAAAGCAATCAATGAAGTGGAAAGTAGCAAATTTCCATTGCTTGTGAATCGACTGGCGCACGGAATGCAAGTTTCGGACAAGACTGACGTCTTCACGCAAGAGGAATTAATAAAATTGGAATCGTCTCTCGGAGTGGACGAAAGCGGCTTGAAATCTCTCCTCGACAGTCTCAACCTGATTCTCACCCAGGTAAAATTTGAAACAAAATAATGCAAAATTCAAGTAAATAAAAATAAATCTTAGGCGGCACTGACGGGTGCAAATCCTACGGAGTTGAAGGAACAGCTCGGAGGTTATGGCATTGCCGAGGAAAAAGCTTTTGCTATCGTCGAGGTGTGGCAAAGTTCAAGCAAACAAATCATTGAGAGTTTGAAGGAGCGACTCGCTAAGCCAACACAAGTATAATTAATTTGTACTTTTAAATAAAACATTTTTAATGCAAATTATTTTTTAGTTGGATGATATCCAATGGTCTATTGGAGCTGCGATTTCTTCAAAAAGCAAAGCTGAACTGAAATCACCTCACGCCACAATACAGTTCTCTTTGAAAAATGATAAAAATGATCAAGATCAGCAACCAATCACTGTTCAAATGAATCACGAGCAGCTGCTGGACTTGCACCAAAAACTTCAAGGCATTCAAGACAAACTGGACTCATTGAAATAAAATAATTTAACTTCTATTAATAAAATCAATTAATCGTGTAAATTGTAATTTTTGTATAACTGAAGGTTAAAATTTTCTTTTTAAAAATTCTCTTGTAAGTAACAGTGAATTTATTTAAATAAGGGCAATAGTTATTTACAGAATGAATATACACTTACTTAAAAGTTATTGCATTAGCTCCGAACAGACTACAATGATCCGATAGCAAGATGAATTAAAAGGCTCCCTATCTCTTCAGTCACAGCACCCAAAGTTATTCAGGGCCACCACGCTGGAAATCAATCAGATCATTATAGAATTATGTAATTATTATTCTTAAAGATCATTACATTGATGTAATCTACTTCCTGCTGACTGAGGGCCTGCCGTCTGTATCGAAGTGGCAGTTGCCAGTCTTCGATGATGGGGCCTTTCTGGACCGGTTTGAAACTAGGTTTTGAGGAGCTCTGAGTAGGAGCTGCAGCTGCAACCACCCTCACATTATCAACTGGAAATGGAAAAGAAAAGAAAGGAGAAATTATAAAATAAAAACAACAAAAATAAATTGTACACAAGATAAAAGATTCAAAACAAAAACAAATTACGCACATAAAAGTTTAAAACACGTTAATTTAGTAAAATTATAATTATTGATAACACTTTGAAAATTATTTTATAAGTCAATGTCGATAAAAAAAGTTTCAGCAATTATAGATGAACTTAATTTTATAACTTTTCCTTACCATGTCCTTGCACTGCGCTGCCTTTGCGGAATTTTATTAGCGGAACGTGAGGCCTGACAGCCTAAAAGAGACGAAAATTATCATTTTGAATGTTTTATTTTTCAGGTAAACTAACCTGCCATGTCCTGGTGACCACAGTAGTCATCATATCTCGTCGGAAAAGTGCCGAATACGACGACATGCAATCGCAAACTTTGTCCTCGATTCAACTTTACAGCTGAAGTGGGCGTGGCATATTTTGAAAGTGCGCGCTCAAACAAATGCCAATCGTCAACAAGGCGAATTTTCTCATTCCGGCGAGCTAACGTGTCGAGGTGAGTGTCTCACGCTTTTTAATTTTCATCTGCGATCATCCCCGTAATTATAAACTATATCAAAATAAGAATCACCCTATTCGGTTACCCAAAATCCGTACTTGATGTTCGCAAACGTAGTTTAACAAGTTCAATTGTATATTTTGCAGCATTCCGTCAAGATGGGTCGGTATGCTCGTGAAGCCGATAATCCAAACAAATCGTGCAAGGCACGAGGATCAAATCTCCGTGTTCACTTTAAGGTAAGCCTAATTTATTTCTATATTGGCGAAATTCGCAGTCAGTCGAGTCAATTGGCTGGTGCGTGATTATGCAAATCAAAATAATAACAATTCGCTGGCCTTCTAATCACTCTTGGCTGCCTTATTGACATGAAGTTTTTTAATTTTATTGAAACTGTCAAATCTGACTTACATTTTCGTTTTTAGAACACAAGAGAAACGGCTCAGGCCATCAAGAAGATGCCCCTGAGGCGTGCGTTCAAATTCCTGAAGAACGTGACCGGCAAGAAAGAGTGCGTGCCCTTCCGCAGATTCAACGGTGGCGTTGGTCGATGCGCGCAGGCCAAGCAGTGGGGCACCACGCAGGGCAGGTGGCCCATGAAGTCTGCAGAGTTCCTTCTGCAGCTCCTGAAGAACGCCGAGTCCAACGCTGACTACAAGGGTCTCGATGTTGACAGGCTAGTTATCGAACACATCCAGGTCAACAGGGCCCCATGTCTGCGTAGAAGAACCTACAGAGCTCACGGCAGAATCAATCGTAAGCACCAATTTAAACAATTCTGTTCGGACTTCATTATCTAAATTTTTATGAATGTTAGCTCCTAATTGCAATTTTTAAAAAATAATGTAAAATTAAAAGAGAAAACCCATGTATTTTATATTGTTTCTGTGTAAATCAATGGAGCTGCAATGGAGTATCAAAAATTTTAATTGTACACAATCTTCATAAAACATTTTAGGCAGTTAAAATAGGTTGAAATTTTTTAATTTCCTATCTTCCACGTCAACCTAAAATCGGTTAAATTTTATTGAAAATTTATGCCGACTTGGCAATTTGGCAATTTAATTGTGATTTATTTTTAATTTGTCTTTTTAAATTAAGATAAATAATAAAATTTTTTCTTTCAGCTTATATGAGCAGTCCATGCCACATTGAGGTGATTCTGACTGAGACTGAGGAGGCTGTTGCCAAGTCGTCCGAGGAGGAACCAGCAAAGAAGAAGGTTTCAAAGAAGAAACTGGCTCGCCAGAAGGAAAAGATGATGCGCGAGTAAATTCAAATCCCCCCTTACGTCTGTAAGTCTATTTCACCGATTCTTACAAATAAACAAAAACAGCCTGTTAAAAAATCACTCGGAACTTTTCAATCAGAGACACTTTCTTTATTATGAAATATGTATATAATATTTTATTATAAATTGGCGACATTGAAAGTTTTATCACACATTGTTGATTACTGGCATGCTCAGGCTAGGGGGGCCCGAGTTGTGTTTGGCAAAAAGAGGGACAGGAGACCGCCACCTATTAGAAAAATGATGGTAATTTTATTTTTTATCGGATCCCAATAATTACCTATTAGTAGAAAGGCAATTATAAATGTAGGCGCTGGGCAGTACATGTCCAGTAAAGTGGCTATCACAATGTTTCCGATAATTCCACCCAACCTTGCTGCAATCATTGATATTGCCACTCCAGTTGCTCTAGAAAAACCGAGATCAAAATTTTGAAGTATAATTTAATTTTTTCCTCAACCTTAAATTGGTTGGAAAAACTTCTGTGATGAGGCAGTCTAGAGCTGCATTTCCGCAGCTGATGGCACTGCTGAAGACTGCGGACACAATGAGGTTGCTTGTCGAACTGTACACAAAGAACAATCCAATGGCGCACATTCCTGAAGTAAAAGTACTGAAAACTACTTAAATTGATTAGGCAATAATGTTGCAAATTATTTCCAATCAGACCGAGGTAGAATTTTCTCCCAAGCCGGTCGATGCCAAGAACGGCAAAAATATTGCTCGGAACGGCCGCTGCCACCGTGATGAGTGACTCGAGAAATACCGAGCCCGCAATTTTGTCGGAGCAGGTGTCAGAATTGTCCGAGTTGATTCCGGATTTCACAACATACTCAGTGACGCCGCATATTGTTGCTGGTTCGCCAGGGTGGGCTTCGCTGAACTCGTTGAAGCGGTTGAACAACTCGGGAAACCACATCATCAAACCGTAATATCTAAAATTAAGATCTTTAAATTTTTATTGATTGAAATAATAATTATTAATTACCCTATATGGAATGAGAAATTGATGACGATTGAAATAATCGTAAATTTGAGTATAGGCGACGTGAAAAGTTGTTTGCTATTTCTTGACACGTCCCCAATCATTCCTAAAAACACTTTGCCTCCTGCACTCTCCTTGTCTGCTCCAAATTGGTTGTTTGTTAGTGCCACCTCAAGACTTTTGACCTTAAGTGAAAAAGAAAAATTAGATTTTTATTGTTATTTAAAAAGGGGATTTTTATCAGCTGGAATTGGTGATTTTTCAAATCGTATAAAGTAAAAGTACATCAAAATTTTTTGTTTATTGTGGACAAATTAGGCTATTTTTCTGAAAATCAGTACATTTCAAAATAGTTGATATTAAGTGATAAATCTGTAAAAGGTTACGTAAGTTGTAAATAGCCAAAAATATTAATAAATTATTTTGTATCAGATGATTATAAAACCTCAAAATTTTTTACTTCTAAAATGTATATTTGGGCTTTATCAATATCAGTATTTTGGTTCCTTTATTCCAAAATTAATTATTAAGTGATCAGGTATTTTCCCCATCCCTAAAATTAAAAATTCTCACTGGATAGGTCGTCGCTTCTTTTCCGGTGTTCATCACATAAATGTGTCTGAAAACAGCAATCGCCTCTTCGTGGTCGCCTCGACTGAGCAGAAACTTGGGACTCTCGGGCAGACAGAAAAGCAGGGCAGTCACCATGAAACTGGGCAGCGAGCAAATCAGCAGATAGATTCGCCACGAGTTGTAGGTGAAGTTGGCGGAAACAAAGCCCAGCGTGCTCGGAATCACCAACCAGGCCAGTCCTGAACTAATTTTTATTCTTTCTGGTTGAACAAGAAGTTGAAAGAAGCACCTGCTACGAATAAATTTCCTAGAGTCCAGAAAGCGGCCATGAAGCTCAGCATCGAGCCTCTTTTCTTTTTTGGCTGAAATTCGGCAAAGTAAGACCAAATCACTGGCCCACTACCACCTAACCTGATCGAATACAATAAAATAAAATAGATGAATTTATAATCAATTCATTTGGAAAAGTGCGATAGAAATGTTAACTATAGAAAATGGACTCACGCGGCTCCATTGAGAAAGCGAAAGAACATGAAAACTGCGTAGCTTTGACTGAAACTCGAAGCAACAATGCAAATTCCAGTCATGAAGGAGATAATGATGAGCACCTTTTTCCTGCCCAGCGAGTCGGCCACTGAGCCCCAAATGTACGCGCCGGCCATCATACCTTTGTAATTATTTCCAATGCAAAATTTTCTAATAATAATTTTTAATACCGATGAAAATTATGCTGTTGAGCCAGCCTTTGGTGTACGTGTTGAGGTCTAGGTCGCACTGCGCCGATGGCAAAATGAATGACATGGACACGACGTCCATCTCCTCACTGGTGCTCACGAATCCGCACACCACCAACAGAAAATAATGAAATCGGCCATATCCTTGAAAAAGTAAATTAATACTTTCTCAAATAATGGAAATTGTTCTATACCAGTTAGTTCGATTGCCTTTTCAAAGTCCACCTGTTCTTGGTCTTGACAGTTGAATTCTTTTCCTAGATATGTAAATCAAAATTATATTCGATGGCTCAAAATGATGAAAATATTTCTCACCAAGAACTTCCATTTCTGTCTCGCCCAGCTTCAAATTTTCCTCCTTTTGTAACGTCGCATTTTCTGATTAAAAAATTTAATTGCAATTTTTACACAAATTATTTAAAAAAAGTAACCTGTAGATTTTGTAACGTTTGTACTTGTGGACGACGAGGCGTTGTTCAAGCGGCAACCATGGACCATCTTGTCGGTGACTTAGCTTTTAACAGGAAAAATAAATCGACTTATAATATCATCATTATCAATTCAAAGCCCCTTGTGCGGCGGAAATAATGCAGCCGGTGCAACGCTGCAGTCGTGCCGGTTGCATAACCAGCTTGACAAAGGTCATTGTTTCAGCCTTCTCGTCATAGCAAAACTGATAGCGCAAATGAGAGGATAAATAATAGTGTATTGTTTACCTGCGATGTTTCAAAATACCGTTATATTGACATTTTACAAACTCAAGCAGGGAAAAGATAAAGAGACCAATTTATAGTATTCTTAAAAGATAACATAAAATTAAATTAAAACTTGTTGGAATTTTGTGAACTGAGACTTGTTTAATTTGGCCGTTTTTTTTTCTTTATATAGTTTGAAATTTTTAAGTATTATTTTTAATTTCAGCAAAAACTACGTAATATTTATAAAATAAAATACTTCACACAAAATTATAGATTATAGAGGGTAGTTTGCGACTTTGAATTTCAACCCCAACGCAATCACTTGTTGCAGCTATTCTATTAAAAAATAAAATTAAAAATTCATAGATTGATTTATTAATTATTGCTATTACAGTGCTTTTAGCTTCTCATTGTCAGCAATAATTTTGATAAAAAAAATTGGAAGAACTTTTGACAGATAAAATTTATTTAATTGATTATTATTAGTAAAATTTTGGAAACTTACGGGGCAGCAGCGTTGGTGGGTGGATTTTGAAGGGCTCCACGTCGGCAGCTCAAAAGTCGGGCGTGTAGAATATGACTAGGTCGGCTAACGATGGATGGGTGGATGTATTCAGTGGCAATCAAACGCAGTCGGTCTCTCGCGAGATCAGTGTTCGGACAAATTGGACAATAACAGGCGCGTAATGCTATTATGCCGAGTGGCCGGCCGCTCTCCAGCTCGCCCTCTTACACGCGAGCCAATACAAATTATGCATGTGCCAATTACGGCGCGCGTTAGAAAGAAATTTATCCGGAGCGCTCGTGACTTATCAAAGGCAAAACGCGAGCGACGCGGCCGCACACGCTCGCGTTCTGCTTATCGCGGCGAAAAAGCGGCCGCGCGCTGCAAGAAATCAAGCGTGTGAGTTATTGACTTGACAGAGTTTGTCTCGCGATTTATTCACACTTGATGCTGCAAGAAAATTTACTTTGATTTGTCACTTTGTTTTTGTTCATACATATTTCTATAATTTGTAATAATATATTTTTAATTTTCATCTGCAAGTATGAATTGTTGATAAATTTAAACTATTTTGCAAATTTTATTCAATCCATAGGCTGTCCTGATATTTGTCCATAATCATCTAGTAAGCATGAGTCTTTCAATTTTAATCTGAAAATCTAGTTCTACAGGTGAATTAGGCAAATAAAACAAAACTATAATAAGGAATCAAAACTAAAACTATAAAAAACGAATGAATAAAAAAATCGACTATATATTTGACAAAATGTGTGAACTTTGACAACAAACAAACAAACAAGAAATGAAATATATAATTTTCAATGAATTTTTTATTTTGATCTGGACAAATCTGTGGTTTTATTTTTCATTTTCAACGTGAAAATCCAAATGACTTTTAATTTTATTCACCTAAAATTTTGAATGTATTTGTTAAAGAAAAGTTTGGTTACAGAAATGGTAAAGTGATTCCAAATTTCTAATTTGACTTTTTTAGATTGAAAAATAAATCTAAAACAAAACTATTTGAACTGTATATGAGCTACACATTTTTTATTTTGTTTCAAATGAACTAGAAATTTCACGCAAAGCTAGAATCAAAATAAACCCATCAAAGTAAACTCTAGACACTCCTCTCGCGTGTGCTATTGTTGTCAATTTTCTCCTATTTTGATCACGTGATCGCGGCGTCGCGAAATCACGTTGAGGACATTTGCACTGACGATTAGCGAACAAACAGTTTGGAATAAAGTCCTTAAGAATCTCTCTAAGATCAGGATTAAAAATTACTTAGAATCAGTTTTCTTTTTTTCAATAGTGTGGGCTTAATTTACCGCGGCTGCCGTTTCTCTTTTGATGTCAGGCGTTTTAGCAGACATCTGCTAGTTGTAAACCCTTTTTTTCTTTTTTTCCAATTAAAAATTTCTGTATTGAATGAGAAGAATAAATAATAATAATGACGGTTTTACAATTTTTCCATTTAGTAAGATGTGTTAAATGTAAAAATTAAGTGTTGTGCACCTGTTCCAATTTAAAGGCCAATAATCTTTTCTGGCACGAAGCCAAGGCCACGTATGCTTTATCTCTGCCTTAGATTTTTATTAATTACTTTGTAATTCGGGCTAATTTTCGCTCAATTTCAGCTTGAAAATTGCATTACTTAAATTTAAATTTGTCTCTTTCTCCTCCACGGGACAGACTAACAACTGAAAGGAGAATTTAAAGGGATTAGTCGCAGTGCGGGGCTTGCTTGGCGAGTGAAAAATAGAAACAATGTGGGGATTGCGGTGGGCTCGTCACGTAGGGGGCAACCTGTCACTCAGTGTTGCTCTTTAATTGCTTGCGAATAGATAGGCTGCCCGGTCAAGCCCCCTGCAGCACCCCAATGAGCTCCACCGCAGACCAAATTAAACGCTGGAAGCGCCAGGGCAACGTTTCTTACTCGGAAGGAGACTACCCTGAGGCTGTAGCCGCCTACACCCGGTGTCTTACCCTGACCGGTCCTGAAGACCCTGAATGGAGTCTCGTCCTGGCCAGTCGAAGTGCAGTTCTCTCGGCCATTGGATACTTTGAGCAAAGTGCGGCCGACGCGGAAAGGGCGCTTAATGGGCCGTACCCTGATGCACTCAGGTTCAGGTTGCACCTCCGGAGAGCTCTGTGTTATAAAGAGATTGGGCAGACTTCAAAGGCGGAGGCAGAGTTGCAAAAGACTATGGAGGCCATTGAAAGGTACTATAATCATTTCTAAAATTATGTTTTTTCTCAATTATTCTGACAGTTAACCGCAGTTTACAATAAAAATTATTCCAATTCAGCTCGAAAAAACTGTTTAATAATATAAAATTAATCAAAATCGATTTTCGTCACAAACTTGCGTAATCGACCAAACTTATTGCTCTCTGCATGTTAACAATATTTTCCAGGTTTATTCCGTTTATACCTGAAGATCAAAAGGAAGAACTGCGGGTCAACGCAGAGAAAAGCTTCTACAGCCCCGTCAATCTTAAATTTCCGTGTGTTTTAATTGAATATTTAGCGCCACCTAAGATTTATTCTGGCGAAAGAGAGATATTTTCTGGATTTTCACCTGCCGTCACTGCGGAAACAGACGAATATTTTGGACGAAAAGTCATCGCCGTGAAAGATATCGAGCCAGGTACAGTCATTCGTCGAGTGCTAATGTAAGTTTGAGAGTCACATTGTGTATATTAAAATTAACAGCGGAGAGTAAAATAGAAGAAATGTGTTGTCAATAATTTTGATCTTCTGAAAAACAAAAGAAGAAATTTTCAAACGACGAGAATCTGGCTGAAGTTCTATGTTTTTCCGTGTGGTATGTGTTTTTACTAGAGTTTTGTTTTTAACAAAGAACGACTTCTTGTTAGGTGAGGTAATTTTAGTCGAAGAGCCTGAAATTAGCAACTTTAAAAATGACTCGGAGTGGACGCACTGTGGTCATTGTTTCAAATTGAGCTTCAGCCTAATGCCCTGCGAAAAATGCAAAAAGGTTTGACAGTTATAATAGTTTAGCAATAATTTGAACGTCCATAGTAAGGAAAATTTAATTTGATTTAGGTATTTTTCTGCAGTGATGACTGCAAGACTGCAGCCCTTTCAGCCATCCATGGCAGGGCTTGCTCGGCTCTGAGTCGTTTTGACACCAACCTGCAGGCCACCCTGAACCTTTCTGAAACAATTTTTCTCACTTTTTCCCGGGTAATCGACTTCGTCTCAACATTTGGAATAGAAAAACTAGGCAATTTTGATTCAGAAACGGACAAATCAGCCTTGGGCAGCTTGTTGAATTTGTGCTATCACCGAGTGGAGCAGGAGGAGAGCCTAAAATCTGTCTGCGCCTCCATCATCCGCCACTGCTTTCAGGTGGAGGACGAGGAATTGGTCGCAAAACTGGCTGAACTCAGTTACAGAATCCTGCTGATCAACAAAGCAAACAGTTACAGCATCGAAGAGCCCGTTTTCCACGCCAAGAGCGGTGAGTTTGAAATGCGAAATATTGCCTATGGAACTTATACAATGGCGTCGCTGATGAACCATTCGTGCGACCCAAATGTCGTCCCCACGTTCCATCGCAAGACCATGGTTGTCAGGGCGTTGAGGCCAATTTTAGAAGGAGAACAAATTTTCAATAGGTAAAAATATTAAAAAAAATATATACATATTATATATATTATATTTTGTTTTACTAAAAAAATTGAAAAATGATTATTATTTAACAGTTCTTATCACGTGATGCTTGCAAAAATTGATTTAGATTTTCAATTTTTATAAAAATAATTATTTAAATCGGGGTATACATTAGCTAAAATTAACTGAATGCTAATTTTTAATATTTTAATTGATTTTAATATTGTTGATGGTATTAATTTTTTTTATAAACGAATACTAACCAATCAAATTAAATTCGCCAACTTAAATTTAGAGTTGGTTTAAATGATAGAACTTTTCCCGCAGATACTGCAATTCGTTCTACAACATGCCGAAAGATGTGCGCCAGAGTCGATTGAGCGCGTACAGCTTCGAGTGTGCTTGCGAGGCGTGTTCGAAAGACTGGCCGCCTGCCAAACTTTTGCCCCACGAGCCCAAGTTCCCTTTGGGCGCAAAAACGCGACCGCTTTTGGATAAATTCCAGACGATCCTTAGCCAGAGTCGCTCGGCCGACGGGCCCGGCGTGAACTTTGAACTGCTCGCAGAAGATGACACTTTTAAAATTTGCACGGATTTGCAAAATTTGTATTTTGAGCCGCAGTGGCAGTCGCGCCTGGACAAGATGTATCGCGCCGTGGAACTGCTTGTTTATTACCACTTTTGCACCAAAAGCAGAGATTTTCTGGTGCTTTCACCAAACGAAAATTATTTTTTGTTAAATCTTTGAAATTGGTTTCGTGAATTTTTCTCAACTTAGCCACACTGATTTTTAATGCCGGGAAGAGATCGAGGAGAAAAAAAAAATTAGATTAAAATTATTGTTTACAAATTTTCGTTTTCAATTGATTGGAATTCAAAATTTTAAGACGTGTTGATTTTGAAGTAAAATTATAAAATGCATTGTTTCTGAAATTATTGGAAGTATTATTAAAATTTTAATTAACTCAATGATGCCCTTTTTCTGTTCTTTACCGCAATTATTTGAAATAAATAATATTGATGATAAATTAAAAATTAGAAGCTCTAAAAATGCTCAACTGATTTACAAAGAATGTCGCTGTTTCTTGAGTGTTAGCGGAAGTAGAATCACAGATTTACGTCTTACTCCATATTCTATAAATTAACGTTATTACTCAATTTGATTAACATTATTTTATGTACAATTTCACCTTTTTTAAATCACTCAATCTCAACTTCATATAATTAAAAATCTTCTTTTAAAAAATTGGATCAATATTATTTTAATGATCCAAGTGTCCACTAAATTAAAAATAATAATATAAAAATAACAAGGATTGTTGGCATGTTGTCGGCTGTTTTGATATTTTTCAGTCCGCTCCATGTGTTTGCAAATGTCAAAATCCGTGCCAGCTACGTATTATCCAGGCCTATAAAATTATCGAGCAATAATTCAGGCCAAAGTCCCACACCATAAATTTTGACGGCTCGATTAATGCGGACGCCGGCTTTGCTTATGGTGCAGCAATAAAACGATTGAAGTCGTGTGCAGAAGTGAAAAATGATTTCGCCCATTAAGCCACCTGCCACGTTGTGTCGAGCCGCGGGTTCAGCATCCATTCTCCAAGCGGAGAATCGAGAGCGCGTGTCGGTTGGTGCATGGAGCGGGCGAGAGGAGTCGTCATAATAATACCGCATCGACCAAAGACTCACTCGGGCCAGCGGCGCGGCCCAAGAAAGAAGACATTGCTCGCTCGGCTCACATGAGATGCTAATTATCAAGAGGGCAGCCACTGTTAACAAAGGCCACGGGTGTCCTGCCGCTATTGTTAGATTAAGCTAAAAAAGGGGGATCGCAAGCAAGGACCATGCCATCCCAGAGAGAAATAACTTTAACAGCCGCTTTTCTGCGAGACCCGCGTGGCAGTGCACAAATTAAATCCACGGTGGCTGCCATCGAGTCGCTCAAACACGGCTCGTGGAACAACAGCCCGTCCACGTTGAACATGGCAAGCGGCATCGACGATTTCATCAAAGCCTTCACCAACGTCCGGACCACCAAAGATGGCACTTACCAAGATTTCCTTAAAGAGGGAAATTTGAGGCAAGTAAAAATTTTAATTTTTTTTTTTTTAATTCTAAAAAAATATATTTTAAAAATAAAATTAATTTGCACAAAAAAAATTACTTTTTATGTATTGTTGATTATTGTTAATATTTTGCGCAGAAATAATCCTAAATATTTGATTCCCATTCAAAATAATTCATTTTAAAAGGAAATGTCAATTGATGTCTATAAAACTGCTCTTTATTAATTGAAATAGTTGATCAATTATTAGTTCTCTCTGCGGTCTTCTTATAATTAGTGTAATTAACGCTTTCGGATGTTGATTTTCTAATTCTGTTCTTTAAAATGTGAATGCAATTAGTGCCAGACGTGACTCACAGTGTTTTGAATGGCAATGTTTAAGTAAGCTGGTAAGCTTCAAGCTATTTTTAGTGTTTGAAATCGCTACAGCAATAAAAAAATGCAAAAACTGTCATTAAATACAACTTTTTTCATAGCTGCCCTTTTGTTAAAAGTATGCCACCTGACTGACAGTGCCGTCCAGCGGGTTGCATTCTACGCCTGACAAAATATATGCAAATGACAGAATAGCAAATACAAACTAATAAATTAATCGTTCATTAAAAAATAATAATATCATAAATTGAATAGTAACACTCGAGGTGGATTTCATGAAAAATTGAAACAGGGTGAACAGGGGGTCAGTTGTCCTTTATTTTTTCCTGTTTTCTTTGCAACGAGGTTCGCCCGGTTTCAATTTTTCAATAATAATAATAATAATAATAATAATAATATTAATAATAATGAAATGTTTATAACAGCAATATTGTTCAAAATTTTTAAATAGAATCAATTTCACACCAAAAAAAAATTGTATGTGTTTTTACAATTAATTTTCATTTACAATCAGGTACAAACGAGACGAGTTCTTTGAAGCCGCGACTGCTTACACGCGATGCGTGGTGCTGTCCCCATTGAAAGACCCAGGTCGGGCGAAGGCGCTCGCCAGCCGCAGCGCCGTGCTGATGAACGTCGGCCGCTTCGAGGACAGCATCCTGGACGCCGACCGTGCCCTCGAGCACGCCTACCCTCAAGAGCTGCGTTTCAGGTTGCACCTTCGGAAGGCCCAGTGTTTCAAAGAACTCGGAAACCTAACGAGAGCCGACGAGGAAATGAGCAAGACTAGGAAATTAATTGAAGAGAGCAAAGCGACGACAGAAGAGCAAAAGAGCGAAATCTTGGCAATTGCAGAGAGGACCTTTGCTGGAGGATGCGACGTCAAAGTCAGAAGGGTCAAAGTCGAGTACATGAATCCACCAGAAATCAGCCACGGAGTCAGTGAAAACTTGCCGTGCCTCTCTTCGGCAGTGGATATTTGTAAAAATGAGAAGTACGGAAGGCACTGGGTGGCCACCAGAGATTTACAAACAGGTGAGCATTGTTTAGTGTGAAAATAGAGAAAATAAATTTTTAATGAGGGGCTGATTTTAATTATCATATTGGAAAATGGTTAAAACTCATTTGAATTGGTAAAAAGATTTTATTTGGCTTTATTTAGCTGAAAAATTAAGGTTATGTACAGACTTATAGTTTATAATCAACTCAATTCAATTTTCAAATTTAGATAAAAAATCAATTGAAAAAATATTAAAACGATAGTAATTATTAGTCATGATTTCAATCTCTTCTAGCTTTTGTCAGGCCTGTGTTGTTCAACTTATTATTATTTTTTAATGTTTTGGCAACTGCTTACGTACAATATATTTTTCGAAAAGAAAGAAATTCAACACATTGTTTTTAATGTAAAATTAATGTAAAACAAGTTTTGAACAATATTTCAGCAGAAATTAAAAAAAAAATTGCAAAAAAAAAACTGAAAGTCACATCAATAATTATAAATAATAATTATTATTTATTATCTCTCCTCTTTTCTCCACTTTTTTTTCGTTTTAACATCTGATTAATTATAAATATTCTTTCAATTAAGCAGAAATTTGGTACCTCTACCTCTTCAACTTCCGCTTATTTGATCACAACTGCCTTATTTTATTGCTCGTAACGTCAGTCGCAAATCCGCTAAACATCCTGGTCAATTTTTCAATTCACTTATTCATTTCCCAGGCCGTAAATCATATTAAAAAAGCATTCTGGCGACACAGCAATATGAAAGCGACGTTTCATATTCACGCCTGCTGGCAGGTGCCCAGATTGCATCAAAATTCATTAGTCTGGACAGTATATTTATTTTTCTTTAATAATCGCTGACCGCTCATGACCGCAAATGATCGAAATAGTAGATTCGCTCATATCCAGCCTATTTTCGCTATTTTTGTCTGACTGTGAATTATAATTTTATTTTCTCCGCTTCTTCTTCTTCTTCTGTTTTATGATTCGCAGGCGACGTGTTGTTAAAAGAAGAGCCCGCAGTGGCCGGCCTTAAGATCGAGGCTAAGTGGACGCACTGTGCGCACTGTTTCAGACCCAGCTTCACCCTCTACCCCTGCCAAACGTGCAACAAGGTAATTTTTTCTTTTACGCCGCGAAAGACAAACTTTTTTAATAGACTTAATTTGGCACGGCATTCGCGTACAGGGACAATCATCGTCTCTGAGCTACGCGTTTGTTTTAAATATAGCCAATCTTTGATTTAGACTGCAGGAGCAGTAAACAAACACCAAGAATAAGAACACTTGAACCGACTTAAAAGAATTTCTCAAGCGATTTAAAAGGGGCCCTGTATAACTTAAAAAAAGAACAAAGAAATATTTAAAAATTGTTGTAAAAAAATTGGAACTTTAAAGTTTTTATAAAAAATATCAATAAATATGATACGCTATACCATATGATCAAAAAATCTAACTATTGCTAATTTTACTTAAGAAAAAAATAACATTTTTGAAATTTGCAGGGAAGAAAAAAAACTTGACTAATTCCCTTGCCCATCATTTTTTATTCAAAACTTATCATTAATTCCACCTTATTGAGAGTTAATTTTCACTTAAAAATCATTTTAAATTTTTATATTAAATTAATATATTTCTTTTTTGGTTTCTATTCTTGAAAATCAAGACCAATGTGCAAAAATTATTTTACATTTGTTGATTTATTAAAAAAACTACTAATTTTATTTCGCAGGACCTTTTTTGCAACACCGAGTGCAAAAATGCGGCTAAAAATTACCACACCGTGATTTGCATCCCGCGAAAGAAATACGAAGATGAATTTCAACGTAAATTTGACCTTTCTGAAAACATCTTTTCCAGCTTCACGCGCATCTTCGACTTTCTCGCCTTCCTCGGACTGGAAAACTGCGCCAATTACGACAATCAATCGCTGCCACAAACGCGACTGATGACGGAATTCCTCAACTTGGTGCACCACTCTGTGCCTTATGAAGAGCACATCCGCTCGCTCTGCTTTGACATCATCCAGTTTTGCTTTGACATAACTGACAGAGAAAAATTGCTCAAGCTGTCCGAGTTCTGCTGCCTGGCGCTTTTGAAGCACAACGCCAACAGTTTCAGCGTCGAGGAGTGCTTTCGCTACAGCCGCACCGACGAATTTGACTTGAAGCATGTGGCCTACGGCTCGTACCACGTCGCCTCACTGGCCAACCACTCGTGCGACCCGAACGTGGTGTGCGTTTACTATGGCAAGACCATGGTCTGCAGGGCTATCAAGCCAGTTAAAAAAGGACATCAACTTTTTCTTAGGTCAGTATTAAAAAAAAGTCAAATGCCAATTTAAGAAAAAATATCACCTTTAGAATAAAAAGTTTTTTCATGTATGTTTTTAACATTTATAGCAGATTTAATTATTTACTATTTATTTCTATTGAATTTTTTTATTGTGTCAGTTCATAGAGACAAATGCAGCGCAAATTATAAAAAAAAAATATTCTTTTTTGATCACACTATCTACAAAAAATAAATTGATTAAATTTTCATTTAAATTTTCTTCAGGTACTGCAACTTGTTTTACAACTTGCCGAAAGAAACGCGGCTTGAAAGACTGAGCCAGTACAAATTTGATTGCGACTGTGATCCTTGTACACTGGACTGGCCCATTGCAAAACTAATGCCAAAAGATCCTGCATTCAGCTTGGAAACGCAAACCTTGTGGGATTTGGTCAAGAGGGAAAGCGAAACGTCTGGACTGGCAATGAACTACGAAGACATCAAGGCTGTGAAAACCTTTGATTTGGCTAAAAAATTGCAAGATAGCTACTTTGAACCCATTTTGCAATCTCGCTTGGACAGAGGGTACAAGCTCATAGAAACCGCGATTTTTTACCACTGGGCAGTCAACACCATGACTTATTCATTTTATCCCTTGCTGACTAATGGCCACACAAATGGTTTTCATCACGTTTAGACATATTAAAAGACGAATTAATTTTTTAAAAGAGTAAAAAATAAAAACCTCAAACAGAGAAAAAAGTATAGTTGTTATTAAAATTTTTATTCCTGCGTGATTTTCACGTAATTTAACATTGTAAACATTTCCTGCATTGGTTTATCTTTATTTTTAATTCAAGGCTATAGAAAATCAGCTTGCTTTACAAAAATATGAACTGCTCTGAACTTTCAACTATAGTTAGTATATTGATCATTAAATTAAAGAGACATAAATCCGCATTTCTTAAGTAACTTCATTTACACAGGATTTGCAAATTGCCTGGAATTGTCACAATCTTATTTACAAAAAATATGTGTGGCAGTATGGCAATAATTCAACTTAAAATATAAATTATACCACAAGAGGCATTTTACATTAAAAACAGGAATCACATTTTTGCAAACAGCACAGGAAATAAATTTAATCAAGCATGCAAGCTTACTATCTCTGGACCGGCTGCTGGTTGGCTTTTTGCCGCAAGTTCAGCGCATTGGATGCCCCAGTCTGATTGGCCATTCTGGCTAGAACAGAGTGAGGATCGTCCAGCAGCTGAGACGGAGGTGCAAATTCAGCCACACGGCCCGCATCCATCACCAGCACTCGATCTGAGTCCATGATGGTGTGCAGACGATGGGCGATGGTGAGAACGGTGCAGTGTTCGAATTTGCGCCTGATTGTGCTCTGGATCAAGGTGTCTGTTTTGGGGTCCACATTGGCAGTCGCCTCATCCATGACAAGGATCTTGTTGTTCCGGACAATAGCTCTTGCCAAGCAAACCTGCAAAAGCATTTTTAAGGTTTAAATATTTTTCTCCAATTGATTTGACTAAATAAAATGTCTAAAGATATTTTAAGATCACTGAAAAAAAAACATAATTTACTAACCAGCTGTCTCTGCCCAACACTGAAGTTGCTGCCACCCTCAGACATTTTGGCACCAAGTCCTCCAGGAAGTTCGGCCACCGCCTCCTTCATTTCAACCTCTTCCAGAGCAGTCCAGAGTACTTCGTCAGGGAACTCATCAAACGGATCAAGATTTTTCCTCATGTTGCCAGAGAAAAGGACAGGCTCTTGCGGAATAATAGAGATGTTGGCTCGCAACTGGTGCAGACCTAAAGTGGTTGTGTCAACACCATCGATCAGGATGCGGCCGCTGCACTTGGCCAGACGGAAGAGGGCAGAAATCAGGGAGGATTTTCCTGCACCGGTTCTGCCCACAATACCGATTTTCTCTTCAGGGTTGATTTTGAAGCTGATTTCTTTCAAAACCGGAGGATCATCCTCTTTGTATTTCAGACTGAGTTTGTCAAACTCAACTGCTCCTCTGTTGGGCCAACCTTTCTCTGGTTTTGCCTCTTCTTTTGTTTCCAAAGGTGGTTCCGACTCTAGATTTGAGAATTCTAGCACCCTCTCCACAGAAGTCATTTGGTTTTCCATCTCGGCCGACTGACGCATGCCCCACTGGAACATTCCCGTCAGGCCCAGGGCCTGAGTGATGGCCAGACCAACATCGCCTCCGTAGTTTTCGCTGCCCAACACCAGGAAGCTGAGAGTTACAATCGCTATGTAGATGAAGCAGATCACATCCAGCCAGTAACCAAAGGCACGACTTGTGGAGATGAACAGGTACCAAGCTGAAGAGTGCAGATCTTGGTGGTGGTCAAATTGAGATTCGAGTATTTGCTGGGCACCGAAGGCACGAATGGTGGTCAGGCCTTGGATGGAGGCGTTTAAGTGAGAGAACACTGGGCTACGAGTGGTGCCTTCTAGTCTTTTGACACTTCTTGAGGTTGACAGATAAATGATTCTCAGGTAGTAGAAAATTATTCCTATTACCAAGGTGGGCAGCAAGAACCAAACGTTGACAATGGCCACAACTATAATGATACCAACCAGTGTCATGCCAATCTAGAAAGAGTATCATTGTTAGATATTTAATTTTCAAATTGAACTTTTGTATAAAACCTGAAGGGCATCAATCATTGCAGCTGGCAGCATTTCATCAATAGATCCCATATCCTTGGAGAAACGGTTTAAAATGCGACCTATATAAAAATAATTAAACCATAATTTACATTGATTTCATAATTTCTTCATTTTACCGGAAGGGTTTGTGTTGAAGAAGTACATGGTGGCCCTGGTGATTGACGAGAACATGCTGTCATGGAGATTTACAGAAGCTTGCATGCAGACGTTGAAGAAGAGGTAAGAGCGGAACAGCGACAAACTCAAAGTGAGAAATATGACGGCCGAGTAAATGTAAACACCCAAGTTGGTATTCATCCAATCAAGAGTGGTGTAATCAATAGTATAAAAGCCTGATGAGCTGCTGGATTCATTTAGTGCTTTAGTGGAGTTGTTCTGAACTTCCTCCCAGTTTGTCCTGAGAAAAAAAATATTTCATAAAGACCGAGTCACTTCAATTAAAAAAAATAGTTGATACCAGAAAGTCAACCAATAATCAGCTCCACTGGCAGCAATTTGAGCCAGTGCAAACATTAAGAACATGGTGAAAATAAGACATGCATTTCCTCCGGCCTTGAAGTACTCTTTGTAAACAAAGCCAGCCACAGATCCTTTCGATTTCATTTCAGCTACTTCTTGTTGGGCTTTTGGCTTTTTCTGCTGCAGCTCTTGAGATGCTTTAACAGACTAAAATAAAAAATAAAAAATTACAAGAGCTTAATTGACTACAATTGGGCACTACTACCTGCATTGAAATTTGGCGAACAACTCCCTCCAAAGCAGATTTGGCACTACTTTCACTACTGCCTCTTCTGCGCCTCCTAAGACCCGACACAGCCTCATCCTCGTCATCATCATCTATAATGTCATCCTCCAATTCATCTTCTGCTTCAGCCAACAACTGAGCAAAATCCAAACCGCTCTCTTGCAGCTGCTGATAAGTACCTTGGGCTTCAACAACCCCCTAAATTTTGAATGTAAAATTACCATTTTTTTTTTTTTTTATATTTTGTAGACAAGTTTTACATTATTCAAAATAAGAATTTGGTCAGCGTGAGTGAGGTACTGCAACTGGTGCGTAATCAGGAGAACTGCTTTGGATTTGAGGAATCCTGTGATGCAGTCGTCGAAGAGGTGTCTCCCGACGTGAGTGTCTACGGCGGACAACGGATCATCCAGCAAGTAAATATCAGCCTCTTTGTACACAGCCCTGGCAAGACTGACTCGAGCTCTCTGCCCTCCGCTGAGCGAAACTCCTCTTTCACCAACAACAGTCTCATCACCGTAAGGCAGTTGGGAGAAGTCTTTCTCCAAGGCACATACTCTGACTACGGTCTTGTAACGCTTAGGATCCCAGGCCTGGCCGAAGATGATGTTCTGTCTGACAGATCCGGCAAACAACCAAGGTTCCTGTGCTGCGTAAGAAACGGTACCACTGACGCTCAGGGAGCCAGAAGTTAGTGGTAGCTCTTGCAAAATAGCGTGGATCAGGGAAGTCTGAAATGAAAATTAAATTATTGCAAAAGCAGTTGATTTAGAGATCGACTTGTAAACACCTTTCCTGAGCCAACAGGGCCAATGACGGCTAACAACTGACCCGATTTCATAGTGACGTTCACATTGTTTAAAGTCGGGTCAGCAATTTCATCGTTCCACTTGGCAGTTGCATTTTGCAGGCTGACGATAGGGCCTTTTTCCCCCGAAGAATCTGTTGAGGCACTATGACGGGACTGGGCATCTTCAGAAATTTCATTCAGCAGCAAAAAGTTCTGTGATAAAATATTAATGAATTTTAGGTAAAATTACAAATATGTATTTATTTTTATGATTACATACCTCCAAACGCTTAATAGAGACAGAACCCTCTGCAAATTGGGAAATGCCTTGAGGAAAAAATATTGTCATTGTTTGGCGGATTATATTGTAGTATGATGAAATGACGAAGACCTTTACAAAATTAATTAGAATGAATACGATTTCTACACTCGTGTATTATTACCTTTTCGGCGGTGATTTCCTGTCCATTCAATACGTATGCCACAACAGTCACATAGACAGTGACTCTGGTGGTGAACATAATGAAGGAAAGGTAGACCCCTTTAATGTATGAAGCAATTCTGATTTGTTTGATTTCCAGTCTATACGGAATGGAGGAGAGTATTTTTAGGCATAGAAGTAAACAAGATTTTATTTATTTACCTCCTGGCCAGATCAACTAATTTGGCAAAAGGAATTTCCCATGTATACATTTTAATGACTTGGATTCCAGAAATAATCTCATTCATCAGCCTAACTCGTTCATCTGTCTTGACAGCTGTCCGCATTCTCAAAGTTGATGTTTTCTTACCCAGCCACCCTGCGAAAAAAAACATTGAATTTTGTGCATTTTTTGGCTTATAAATTATTATTACCTTGCAGAGGAATAGTAAGGAGCAAAGTGGCAACACCCATTAGTGCTGACCACCCCATCTTTGAATACATCAAATACGAAACAACAGCAGTCTGAAGAGGTCCAACCCACAAATAATGCATGAAAATGGGCACAACGTCAAACCGGTTGACATCGTTGGACAGCAGGTTCACCACCTGACCAGCAGTGGTTTGACCCATAGCTTGGTGACTTAGTCTCAAAGCCTGTGGAAATATAAATAAATATGTATTGCAAAGGATTTAAAATAAAAATTAAGTTATAATTTTTATTTTAACTAATCATTTGATTTACCTTTCTATAAATTAGTGAGCAAGCAGCGACCCTCATCTGCATACCAATATGCATAATGCCCAGCATGTACGGATGCAGGGTGACAATTGAAATGCCTGAGCAGAGAATCACTCCTGCAGCATACCAGTATGCTTCATCCTTTTCAATGCCTGACATTGGTGTGAAGTAACGAATGAGCTGGCCAAGTAACAGTGGCTGCGCAACCCTAAACATCAATTTTATAATCCAGCAAAAAAGTATTAATTGTGTGTTTAGACTTACTTAACACCAATTTCAATGAGCAACAGCACAATACCATAGGCCATGAACTTCAAGCCGAAAGTGGCCCACATGGCTTTGAAGAAACTCGGTGTGCCTTTTTTGCTGCATTTTTCCTGTTCCTTCTTCCAATTTCTTGGATGAAAATTTAAAAATGAAATATCAGTTATGTTACTCCAAATTAATTTTGTTCTCACCTTTCTAATATATCACCTAATCTATCAGACTTGTGCTCGTTCAAAGGGTCATACAGATCTTCAACTTCCAGATCATCTTTATAGCCCTTAAAGAACATGCGAGTTGTCCACCTAATTAATTATTTTTAATTATAATTTTAAAATTTAAATATTATTTCAACTCTCACCAAAATGTTAAGGCTGAGAGACAATTTGCCTTGGCCCTGGGATGTGGGTTTTCAAACTTTTTTCCTGCGTCCATTTTAGTTCAGCTAGGTTGCCTGAAACAAAATTTGCCACAACTTTAGCACGTGCCAATTATTTTAAACGCGACAGGAAAAGACAACATGCTGCATTTTACAGGCAGGAAGTGCAGCCTGCCGTACTTCCTCCCCTACAATAACTACGTAAATTTTTTATCTCGGGCTGATTTAAATGAACAGACCGAAAGGGTTAAGCAGATGGCGCGCTCCCTCTAATAAGGTCTAAGGGCGCTCTGGGCAAAACAAAATCATTGAATCTCTCGAGCGACAGAGCTCGTTGCGTCAATAAATCATATTGAGCCACCGAATTGGACCAATTTAGGAAATGAAAATATTTGTCTTCTGGATAGAGAGATAGAATGGTTTGTAAATCGGCTTTGAAAGATTAGTGCCAAGGGACAGATTTGATGTTTCTAAATTGGATGTTTGTTTTAGTGGCAAGTGGAGAACAAAAGATTCAAAGCTCAAATTTTAAAGTTATGAAATTTTAATGTGAAAAATTATTTAAAATTAAGTTCATTTACTTTAGACTAGAATCTCTATCGCTAGAGGAACTCTCAATGAGAAATTTCCAAGCCTTTCCCTTCCCCACAGCCACCGCAAAGCAGCTATAAAAAAAATAATAATGTGGTTTTCAAGGTTTACAATTTTTTATAAAGGCGGATTTTTCAGGATAAAATGACGCACATGAAAACAACACATAAAAAACAAATAATTTTAACAAGAAGTTAAAGGAAAATATTACATAACAATAAATATGTATTAATTTATAGATGAATCTACGCTGTGCATTTTTGTTTTCAGCGGTAAAGTGTCACTAAGGCTTATGCATAGCAAATTAACCAATTGAGTGTACGGTACGCTTCGCACAACACGCAGAGTCCTTGACTATGTCAACGCTCCAGAGCCAATATACATAGGTGTATGTTGTTGCAAAGATAGCAGAGCAACGATCTGGAGACGCGTGTTGAATGAACAAAGGTAATAATATAAATAGATGATGTTTTCTTGGGATAAATTTTAATGGCGTTTATTATGCAGTTATATAAAGAGGGGAATCGGGAAGGATTCTTTTAAAATTAGACACACTCTCTGTAAAAATTAAACCAGTAGAGTAATTCAAAATTATTTGAGAAAAAAGGCAAAAAATGAATGATCAAATGAAGAATTTAGGAGGAAATCTTTAGAAACGCTTGGAAAAATATTTTAGTGTATTTTAGGTAAAATAAATAAGCTTTGAAATAGATGACAAAATAAAGCAGGATAGTAAAAATATAATATTTCAATAAATAAGGCATTCATTTCAATTGCAACTGCATGGAAATGAAAATTTAATTGTGAGTTATGGTGAAGGAAAAACTGGTGGGGCCGTTCACGAATGATTTAAGATAAATTGGACAGATTTTTTTTGTTACGAGCACCACTCTGATTTTTAGATATGTTGTTAGGGTTGATGAGAAACTACTTTGACCAAATTTTTAGACCAAAATATTTATTACTTTTTGAAATATTCGGGTTTTTTGAAAAACTCAAAAATGCTTATATCTTTGCTCCTCTTAGTTTTAGAGCAATTTGGTTTTCACTACAGTAGGTAACTTTTTATTCTGAACAATTTTGCTGTTGACCAAATTGCCCTAGGTCAAAGGTCAAGGTCATTAAAATGCATTTTTAGTTTTTGAGGTCATTTTTCTCAAAGAAGCGTATTTTTGATATTTTTTTAGCAAATGCAAAAAATGTAGCCCGTGAAATTCTACGTCTGGTCCGAAATATTTGCGATGGCGTATATCTTAGTTTTTTAGTTATTTTAATTTAAAATTAAAAAGATGCGTTTTTCCGATATGCGGTATTTTGACATTTTTCTGTTATATTATTTCTAAGCAGCCTAGAGCAATGCGGTTTTCACTGCTAGACCTATTTTTTAATTTTGAACAACTTTTCCGTTGACAAAAAATACCTAGGTCAAAGGTCAAGGTCAGTAAAATGCATTTTTAGTTTTCTAGGTCAATTTTCTCAAAGAAGCGTATCTCAGATTTTTTCCGCAATATAGAAAAACATGTTGCCAATGAAATTCTACATCTGGTAGAAAAAATTCAGAATGGCATTATTTTTAGATTTAAAGATATTTCAATAAGAATAAAAAAAAGGCAAAAAGGGTCAGAATATTATATACGGAAACGAACTTTTTAAATATTTATTAAAATATCTTTAAAACTAAAAATAACGCCATTCTGAATTTTTCCAACCAGATGTAGAATTTCATGGGCAACATTTTTTTCTATATTGCGGAAAAAATCTGAGATACGCTTCTTTGAGAAAATTGACCTAGAAAACTAAAAATGCATTTTACTGACCTTGACCTTTGACCTAGGTATTTTTTGTCAACGGAAAAGTTGTTCAAAATTAAAAAATAGGTCTAGCAGTGAAAACCGCATTGCTCTAGGCTGCTTAGAAATAATATAACAGAAAAATGTCAAAATACCGCATATCGGAAAAACGCATCTTTTTAATTTTAAATTAAAATAACTAAAAAACTAAGATATACGCCATCGCAAATATTTCGGACCAGATGTAGAATTTCACGGGCTACATTTTTTGCATTTGCTAAAAAAATATCAAAAATACGCTTCTTTGAGAAAAATGACCTCAAAAACTAAAAATGCATTTTAATGACCTTGACCTTTGACCTAGGGCAATTTGGTCAACAGCAAAATTGTTCAGAATAAAAAGTTACCTACTGTAGTGAAAACCAAATTGCTCTAAAACTAAGAGGAGCAAAGATATAAGCATTTTTGAGTTTTTCAAAAAACCCGAATATTTCAAAAAGTAATAAATATTTTGGTCTAAAAATTTGGTCAAAGTAGTTTCTCATCAACCCTAACAACATATCTAAAAATCAGAGTGGTGCTCGTAACAAAAAAAATCTGTCCAATTTATCTTAAATCATTCGTGAACGGTCCCTGGTAATTTTTGACAAATTGACAAAAATGGAGAAAAAAGAGCGAAAAATTGGCGTTCAACCCTGAAAATTTTAAAAATATAATATACACAGTGACCGGGTTACTGCACAAGATTTTATTGTCACGCAATAATATATGCGCTGCAGCTAGATCGATTCTAATTGAATGATTTTTCTACTCTCAAGGGAGGAAAAGTGGATGTAAAAACATGAAACCCAAGTAAATCAACACAGACGATGTTTTACGGTTTAGTGACGCAAGAAGTTAGTGTGACTGGGAATTTAAAAAAAATTAACCGCAAAAAAATCCACAATAATGAAAAATTTAATTTTTACTTTTCAATGTTTATCTAACAATGAGAGGGTTCCTTTTATGTGTTTGAACATAATTAGTTTAATTCTAAATTGCTTTTTTCCAAAACAAATTTTAAGATGATCTTGTATAAAGAATTTGGTAGAAAACGTTTCGATCATTTTGTGAGTGCATTTCTTGGCATTTTTTCCTGTTGCAACAACCATAGAAATCGCGACACAAAAGTATCCCTGCCAAGTAAAGTGTGCACAATAATGTATATGTGAGCTGCAAATATTTGATCAACGCCCGATGCAGAGGCGCGCTCAGTGACATCACAAAACATTGCGTGCAGATAATGACACATTCAAGTTCAACAACGAAAGATACGCAAAAGTGAAACTCGAATTTCAGATAAAGATCAAGGTGAAATCAATCATGCATTTAAGGGAAGTGGAAATGAGAGCAAAAATTGCATCAAATTTTTCGTAGTTTATTGATTTTTTGTATTTTTTTTATAATTTGATACCTGTTATTTATTTAATTTGTCCTATTGTTAAGAAAAAAATAATCAATTGATGAGAGGGAAAATATTGAATTGTTTTGCAAAACGGCACCACCACCACCACAGAGTGGAGTTTCTTATTGTAAAAATAATGTGCAAAAAGCCAGGTATATAATTCAATCTAGCATTTATTGTGTAATTTTGGGTATATTTTAAATTTCTACAACCTAACCTTTGTGGAAAGTGAGTGTGCCGAACTGCTCGATTAATTAAAAGAAACTCGTTAAATACTCACCGAACCCGTTTGAGATAAGAATCTTTGCCAAAAATAATTTGCTCGTATGCACACCTCGTGCATTTAAATTTAAAGTGGGTTTATTCTCGGCAAGCAGGCAAATAAAAAAGTTGTAGTATATTTCCAGAAATAACCCTGAATAAGGACCGACTTGCTAAAAATAGGCTTCTCAAAATTTAGAGCCATACAGGTGCTTAATTATTTTGCAACAAGGTCAGACAGAAGAACGAAGCTAAAAAATCCAAACAACAGAAAGGGGAGGATGCCTGTTATGTAATCACAAAGCGTGGCTCAACTCGCCCGGTTTTCTTATACGCAGACTCGATTGAAATAAGTTCTTATGAAATTCTATGCATAGCTTAATATTTTTTTCGGCAATTTTTTTCGGCAATTTTTTTCAAAGAAAATCGCATAATAACCGTTGTTAATGAGAAATTTTGTCTATAATTTTTGCGTAAACTGTTTTTAATTTTTGTAGTTAAAAAATTGGCGTAAATGAAAGAGTCAACCCAAGTAAAATATTCCTACAATGCATAATTTATTTAAAATATAATCTTAAATTTCTTCAAGCCATAATTGTTCATAAATTAACTTTTGTTTGTATAATAATGGTCGTAATTGATAGTTACCATAGCAACAAATAATATAAATTTAAGCACACCAGCAATATGATTTTATTTGCAAAAAATGTACTCTAAAAAAAATTTAAAAAAATTTCGGTATGTATATAATTGCGCGAAGTTAAGCAGGATAGCCCTTTGTACAGGTAAAAATACAAATAATTGTTGAAAAAAATTTTCATTAAAACTCAGAAATTCCAAAGATTTGATTATGTGTACTGCATAAATGAGGAATTTTTAAATTTTAACTACAATTGAAATGCATTAAATTTGTCGCTGATTGCGTGAAATTTATTTTTTTAAGCGAAGTATCATTTACATAATCTGAATAATTCCATCAAACAGCGCAAACTGAATGCATTCTACGACCTTGCGAAACAGATAAATTTAAATTCCGCAAAGTGCAACGACAGACAGATCGACATTTGGGTCACGCGCGCATTTCCCTCTCGCACTGCCGCAAACGTGCACAAACACGGCAACTCGTCTCTCCGCCTGACTAAAAATCCTCACATGACCGCGGTTTTTCCTTGACACCAGCAAAGGACGTACCTGAGAAATTCCTGTGCAGATCAAATTCGTCCGACGACCCTTCGAAAGGGCATGTCCCGGTGCTGGCTGATGCAAATCCCGCCGCAGGACGATTGGAAATTTTTGCGGCTCCGTTGTTTCTTCTCACCTCGCAGCTCAGATCTTGCTCGCAGGTCGTGATACAAACGAGTGATTCTGCTTTGCGAGTGCGTCGAGCCGAGTGCCGGCAACTTGCACTACAGCAAGAAGTTTTCTTTCTTCAGAAATCATAATATAATCAGCGGTGTACGCCGAAAGTGTGCGAAACGACCGCCAGAGGGAAGCAAGACTCGGTCAGAGACAAACGTGCTTGCAAACGTGCACACGTGGTTTTCACAGCACACATTATTTGTGCTCAATACCAACAAAAATTTATTCCTTATCTTTGATTTCATAAAGTTTCACTCATTGCAACAAATGAAAATCAAACTTTGATGATATTAATGGCCGTTTAAATAAATAAGTTTGATTACTATTCATTGGAATAGTAAATCCATAAAAGTTTAATGCAGCAGGGATTTAAAAATTGAAATTCTCTTATGTAGTGACAGAAACAAAATATAAATAACACTTTTGTAACTAACCATAAAATTAGATTGAAATCTAAAGAAAAAATACTGTTTTCTCCAAAATGAAAAGGTTACCGAATTTATAAATATATTTGCTTGCTGTTCTTGCCAGGATAAAATTTGATAAAATTACACACATTTTTAATAATTTTTGCCCTGTGTATTGATGAAAATCTCAACAAGGTAATCCATTTTACAAATAAAGAGTTTATTTGCCCTTCTTGGCCTTGATTTTACGCATGTAGAATTCCAGTTCCTTCCCTTCAAGAATGTATCCGTCGGCTCTTCCAACCTGGCCAGGTCTGGATGAAACACAAGCTGTCGGAAGAGAAATTATCGAATTAGCAACTATTTTTAAATTCATGCATTTTTAATAATCAATTTCTATTTTCTCAGAGTAACTATGACAGGGTATCAATCTCCATTGACTACTGCCTGTGCTAAAACAGCTCAGGGTAGTGTAATCTCGTGATGGTTTTCTCATCATTGGGTCAATTTGGTGCAAATTTCCCTTATAATCTTATAATTTCCAACTCACCCAAAAGACGGCCAGTCTGGAACTGCTCTTCCAATGCAGTCTCAACCTTAGCTAATCTTTGCCTGACCTTGTACTTCCTTTCTGCCTTTTTGGAACGCTTCTTGTTCAAGATTTTTTCTTCTTCTTCAGACTGGAATTTCAAAATACCGATGAGAAAAAAAAATCCAATTTGCAGCTTTTAAAAGGGGAGAATGTCATTCAGATGGCTGCAATCTTCTTGTGAGATTCAACAGTTAGAATAAATAATTGTAAATTATTTATTCCGACCGTTTTGGCTCATCTGATGACACGCAAAGATTCATCATACAATTCTTTAATCTTTTCATTTGATTATAAATTCAAATTAAGCTCACCAGCTTGGCACCTTTCTTGCGCCCAAGAGCAAGAACATAGTGGCTTTCGTACCACTGTCTGAAGGGGGTGGCGTCAACGACAAGGATAGCATTCTTGACCAAGGTCTTGGTCCTCACCAACTCGTTATTGGAAGCGTTATAGACGACATCAATAATACGAGTTTTGCGGGTGCAGCCTAGAAATTTAACAAGTGGAATATTAGTACAAATTGGATTACTATATCAAAATTTGATATAAAAATTTGAAATCTTCAATCAGAAAAAGTTCAAATCCACATGATTGTTCGGACTAGGTAAGGGAATGAACAAGAAAACATCATTGTATGAAAAGTTATGCTCCATATTCAGGAGTTTCAGGACTTGAAAGTGAATTTAGATTTTATTTTCTTTTTTTAACTCACATTCTGATCCCCAAGAGAAGTTGCCCGTGTCGAGCCTGAGGGCGCGGTACTTGGAATTACCACCTCTGGTCCTGACTGTGTGCACACGGTGAGGGCCGAGTTTGGTGTTTGCGGGCGGGCGGCCCAACTCGAACTTCCTCTTCTTCCGGAGGGGCTTCCTCTTGCCTCCGGTTGCTCTTCTTTTATGCCAGTGGTCGCGGGAGATACCTTTAATTCAGTGAGAAAAATGAGGACGTGAGCGTGTGTTGATGTGACAGCAACTGTTTGTTTTGGTTCGGGTGAAATTGAATTCGGCTCCTTCTTGGCTCAAAAAACACGAATCTTATTAATTTCGCACCAAAGTCGGACCGTTTCGTTAGTTTAATAGAGGATTTAATTATAAGTTAAGAGAAAAAACGAACGTAAACACGTGGCTGACGTGCGGCTTTATGGCCGAGAGGTTCAGTCGGATTGAATGCCGAACTTTTTCTGGACTATTTTCGAATAAGTCTGGAGTTATCGACCTAACTATTGAATCAATCCGGTCCGTAATTTATCAGGGATTGTAATTTTGATCAAATTGAGGGTGGATTTAGTAGGATGATAGGAGATTTTGAGGGAATTTGATGAAAATTAACTCACCCATGTTAGCAGATGCGACCGCTCGGCCGATGAAGAAAAACGCGACGACAGCGCCAGCCAATAGGCAACAAGCCGGCAAGCGGGAGAAGCGCGAAAGCTTTGAAAGTTGAAGTCGCACAGGTTGCATAAACTCCCAGGCATACACGCAAGTGAGTGCCAAGGAGTTGAACATAAATAAAAAAGGCATGATGAAAATATGAGTGGTAATATCAATAGGCTATACTTAAAGTCTATTTCTCTTTGAATAATGTAGTTGTTTAGCGATCGGTGAGTTAGGTTTTTAAAAAACTATTTTTTTTGTTATTATATATAATTATATATTATCTACATTCAAAATTAATATTAAAGACTAATAACAAATTAGTTGAATAACGTATATTTTGAATTATAATTTATATTGAAAGAATATAGGAACTGACAACTGACTAGCACTGACTAGGATGGTTTTATTAAATTATTTATCTAATTCAGTGTATCTCAAATAATTATGTTCTTATTCTATAATTCTACCTTTTAATATTTCAATTTATTTTCTACATTTGCAATTTTATTCTCATTTAAACTTTTGTTGAAGGCGGCTTCTTTTAAGAAGTTTTGCAAGGCTGCTGGCAAATAGTAATTTGAATCTCAGAGTCATTAATTATAGAATAATTTTCAAAATCAAGGCTGAGAATATTGCCGGATAATTCACTCCTCTATTGTTCGCCTCAGAGAACACACAATGCGACTCAGATTATCATTAACTCAAAAACGTGATTTGTGCGCAAAGAGTAATTATTTTTTTAGGAAAGAACTTGTTGTTGAGAGAACTTTTATCTAAAGTGTGAGTAAATAATTAAATTTTCGGTTCTGAAAAGAGCTTTTTAAGTGTACTTCAATTCACTCTGTAGAATGAGAGCATTTTACGGCGCCTTCCTCGCTGCTTTGCTTATTATTACGGAGAGCGAGAGAGAGGCTCCCTTTTAAAGAAAACAAGGGCGCATTATGAGTGTTGGTGGGAACATTCTCATCTACACTTGATCGAGAGGCCCGCGCCGCTTTGCTCTTCTATAAACCGTGTTCAGGTACAGTTGTGCACCGCCTCAACAAAAGTAAGAGCTGCGCTGCACCCACGCATCATCAATCCTCTACACACTTTGTATTTGATGTGCACTTGCCACAAGAAAGAACGAGAACAAGAATTCAGTTACATAAATACTTTTTTAGTAAAACTTAAGAAATAAAGTGTATGTAATTAAAAATTCACTGAATCAAAATTAGCGTTATTTAAATTTGTTGCTTTTACTACATAAAAAGCCAAAGAAAGCTTAAATGTTCAGTTTCCGTTCTTATTAATTTTTAATTTAATAAGAAAAAATTTAAATTCTTTATTACTGACTTAAAAAATATCATGAACATTTCCAAACATTTCAATATGTAAATGATTCAAAATTAAGCAATAACTGTTAATCCTTTGCCGTTTTATACAAACAAATTTCTTAAGCAATATGATTGCAAAAATTTGTGAACAAAAATATTAAAATACAAATGATGATAAAATAAAGTTGAAACTGATCAAATTCACAATGACTGATATGACCAAACATTGAAGAAAATCAAGTTCCATAATAAACTTTTTAAGGTAAATAAATTTATCTAAACAAGCCAGTTATAACTGTAAGCTAAAATTAAGTATTTTACCTGAAAATTCAAAGAATAAAAAATTGCAAAAATTAACTTTCTCCTTTAAATTATTTTTTAAAACATAAATTTTGATTATGCTTATGCTCTCTTTCCTGTTTTCGTCAACTTATTGTGGATTATGAATTATTTGAATATGAAATGCCATTTGATATATTATGAATAAATAACAATAAAAATTGAAAATGAAAGACTTTTGTGGTATAATTTCACGATTGATTCAAATCACCATAAAAAAACATACATCACACGCAGTAAAAGAAAAATTCAGTAAATTACAGTGATTGGATTGCTTTGACTATCGCGTTATATTAAATTTTATTAAACCATAGAGCACATCAAATTGCATTTTTATTGGCCTTTTAACTTATCTGGTACTGTTTAAGTGTCCATTTAAAATTTAAAGCGCCATAGAACGCGATCTACTCCAGCAGACTGGAAAAGCGTCTTTGGCCGCGCTCTGCATTGCTGGCGAACCCGCGAGGTGGAGGCCCCATCATCCGCAGGAGAGAGTCGTGAGTTCAACATAACAATAGGTGCTCAGCAATGAAGCATAGAGTAAAAAAAATTAATGATCGAGCGAAGAACGGCGGCAGAACCACAACACAGAGAGTATATACGCGCTGCTTTTTTCTCTCCTCTCAAGCCGGGAGGAGGAGCAGCCAGGCTCCGAGAAAAGAAAAGAGAGGTAAAAAGAAGCAAGCGTGACTACCTGGGCGACGCATGCGCCGCTCGGGGCCCGCAGCAGTGGATGCCCTTGACTCAGGATGACCGTCTAAGCCACGCTTAATCTGCTGCGGAGCGTGGTGCAAATCGCGCGGCGACCGACCGACGCTGTCATGTGAGAACCATGGCCGACAAACTCTACTTCTTCATCTTCAACATCATCATCTGCCTGCTGGCGGTGGCCAGGGCGACGGCGCTGGACGCCGAGTGCGCCGAACTGAGTCGCAGCAGGGCCTCCCTAAAGCCGCTCCACCGGCGCGACTGCACCCTGAGGGACGACCTGCTCACCTGCACCATCCGCCTCATGTCCGAGTCGCTGCCCCTGAACGCGACCGCCACCGAGTACCACTCCGTCGTCAGGGTCAACCTGGACTACCGCTTCAGGTTCCGGGTGCTGCCCCAGGAGGACGACGAGGAGCCGGGTGTGAGCAGAGCGTGTTTGGTGTTGTTGGGGGTGGCCTACGCCAGGGTCAAGGGTGGTGACGGCGAGAAAAGGACCAAAGTGGCCATGCCCAAGAGACTCTTCAACCTGGCGGCAAATAGCGCCCTGCTGGGGGCGGAGTCCGACCTCGAGCCTCCCGGAGTGGCGACGGGAATCGCCACTTTCGACGAGAGAAGCTGCCCTGATGATCTGATAAGGTAATTAGAAATTTAAATACTTTATTTTATCAACTAAGATTGACTTATTAGTTAAAAACGGTTTTGTGAATATATTTACAAAAAACACAAACATGGAATATATAATTTATATCATTTAATGTACACATTGTAAGATATTTAAACTTTTTATACTGTTTTTGTAAAAAGACATAAAAATTAGAAAAAATGATAATGTTTTATAATTTACTACAACAATAAATTAAAAAATAGTTTTAATTAAATAAAATTATAAATTAAAATATGATAATTAATCTTTAAAAAATAAAAATAATATCAGATTTTGATGCCTTAACTTTTTGCACTACACAAATCTACTTGCAAAATATTTATCTTCCCATTTGCATAATTATAAAGAGTCTGATGCGGCTCGCCCCTTTTTCTGTATACCGAATGTATAATAGAGAACCATCGCGATCGCGTCGTCTTGAGATTAAAAAAGGAACGCTAAGTTCGAAGAAATTTCCCTTGTGAAAAATGCCGCGCTCACGGCGGTTTTACGCACCGGCCGCGCTATATCTTCCGTTGTGAGATGGATTTTCAGGTCCACCGAGTTTTCAGGAATAGGTGATATCAATCACACTGATTAAATAAGATGTCATAAATTATTCTGGGAAAACGCGCGCCAGCGTACAAATTACGGCTCTAATGATGTGCCCATGCGGAATTCGCCCAAGGCGCGATTGAGCTAATTACAAACTGCACCATATTTTATGTTTTTATAAATTTTTACAGATTCTTGGGAAAAAATGGGTTTCCCGTTTTTTTATTACACTTTTATCGCTCATTATAAACGGCGTGAGACACGAGAGAGAGAGGAAGTGATTTTTATATACTATGAATGCAGAGGAAATTCGAACGGCTGCAATGCATGAACTTTCTGCCCTGATTGCATTTTCTCTTCATTTACAATTATAGCAAAAAATTCACGACCAGCATAACGAGCAATAAAACTTGCCGCTTCCGTAGAAACGCCTCGAATTTACGGCCGCGCTCTTTTTGCGGTTTGACGCCCCATTCCCAGCACAAAAGAGATAACGAGACAAAAAACGAGGAAGTACACAATTTGCACCCGGGGAAAGATGAGATCGCATCAGTCGAAATTAAACGCGTAACACGAGCCGCCGGTGTATTCTTCACGGCTTCTCTCTAATTTTGTCCACTTGAGTGTGAAATTAGCTGCCCGTCGTCGCAGGTGCATTTTTCTTTTGGAGAGAACGAGATGCACCTGGATTTTGTGCAGTGTGAGTCATCGCTACTTTTTGCGTCTGCTGCATGCGTCTGGATTTACTTACTTAGTTTGTAAAACCCGATTTATTCTGCGGCACGGCAACTTTTGCAGCCGCCGCGACGTCTCTCCGCAAAGAGCAATGAACAACAAAATAAATGTGTAATTCTCAAGTCACGCTCGCTTTTCCACCAGACCGAGGCGAAACCAGTGAAAATCTGGATTGCCATCGTGCACAATAATGTTGCACCATCAACATTTCACTCATGAAATTCATATCATTAAAAACGAATGATCTAGAAAATTGTTAAATTCAAATTGATTATTATTTGATAATTTTTGTCCCATCTGCAGAGTTTTAAATTATTTTCAGAAAAATTTGGCTCTCTTAAAGTAATGATAAAAGAATTATTGGAAATTTGCATTTGATTTTTTTTTTTATTGCACTTTTTAATAATTTTAAAGAATAAGCGAGAGAGCTGTGCATTGTTCATTACAATTAAAAATTTAATTAGCTAACGACCATTATTTGATCGATTTCAATAGGAAATCAAGAGGCTGTGCATCACGAGCTAATTTGCTGATAGAGCTTTCAAAATAAATCACGGCGTTCGCTTCAAGCGCAGTTGAGTTTTGAATAAAGCCCAAATGAACAATCAATCAGCAGCCTTTCTTTGATGTTCGCTCCGGCTTGATTTTGCTCCCTGTGAGATGAGTCCACAGAAAAATGCTCCTGACGCCCAGAGCAAACAACGCATAAAACGAGACGCTCTGCCATTAGCGCCGCAGCCAAGTCATTTTTCATTATGTAAATCTGCTACCTTTGCTCGTTGGGGATCGCCCGAAAAGGAATTTGTGTAAATACGCTACTTACACCCAGCAGAGTCTGTTGGGAAAACTTTCAGAACGGAGGCTCCTATAATGAAATGGAAAAAATATTTGAGGCTAACCGTTCGTCATTCTGCTCAATTGTTCCTTAAGTGGGGAAAAATGGCTTTTGCTATTGAAAAATGAATGGAACATTTTCGCCACCTAGAAGCAACTCCCTTCCCTGAAAAGAAATTCAAATAAATTATTATTCAATGTTAATAAATAAAAGAAACTCTCGAACAAAACGTAAAATCATTTATTATACCAGCTATACACACTCGGAGAAAATAAAAACGACAAAGCTGAACATTAAACATTCAATTTTTTTTTCTTTTTTTGACGACAGTACAACCTGGAACATAATACACGATACGACGAAAAAAGAGAAAAGTGCATTTAAATGCAGAATAACCAGTTGTGCGTGTAGGATATATTATAATGTGTATTAAAAAGTGCGCCCACTTGGAAAACAGAGAAACAACATCGTGTTTTTTGAACGTGAACCTACTCTTAACGCTTGGAAAACATTGAAATTTGGGCGTTCACTGCACATATGGCGCAGTTTATATAGAAAAAGACTCGCTTGCGTTGGAGCAAATGCATCTCTTCAAGAACGCCAGAAGCGTTGGCTTCATCCAGAATAATAATTATAAATGCATCGGCTGAGTGAGATTTATTGAAAATTATAAAATGGGCGACGTTGATTTTAATTTGCATAGTTATTGTAGGCTGTAATTTATGACAGCAACTCAATCACTCTTAATATATTTCAGAAAGCATACAATTATCTATATGATCAAAATCACTTTTGACGATTCACATTCATATTAAATTAAATTAATTATAAATAAATTAGTTTTACTATAGCAATAACAGTTGTTGTTGTTATTGTTAGTTAAATATAACATTATTTTAAATTCCTAATGATTTTTAATTAAATTTTATATAATTACAAAATATTATTATAAATTGTTTATTTTACTCAAAATATTTATTTTTAAATCATATTTGTTGCTAACACAACATAATACACGTCGTTTTAAAATTTAATCTAGAATTACGTTATTATTTTTATTTTTAATGTATAAATACAAGCCGCATATTTTGTGATCAAATAGGAATTAAAATGTAAAATATATAATTTTCAAATTGAGCGGTCAGACTAATTGTTTGATAAGTGTGAATGAAAGAAACATAAAAAGAAGTATTTATCTTCCAAAATATGAGCGAAGAACAACATCACTAATTAGTTAGATGTATTTGAAAAGCATGTTGATATTAGTTAAAACTTTGCGATCGATGGAAAATGACAAAATACTGTAAAGGAAAATAAAGCTTCTTTACATAGAGAGTTAAATAAAATATAATATGAAACAATAGGAAATTGCTTAACATCTGAATTCCATCAAAATTGCTTTAATGTAACAATACACCCATAGAATTTTATTACGATTTCAACAGATCAGTAAAACACAAACAATAATTTTTTAAGCCGTAAGCAAAGTGAAGGACGATTTTTTTGTTAGCATTATGTATAATTAAAATAAAATGTGCTTAATCGTCGCTCATTTACCAGAACTCCTGCTTGAAATCAGTTCTGCCTTCACTTTCCTGTAGAAAAGTGCCGTCGTAAATTGCTCCTGCGCAAAACACAAATGCTTTCACTGGACAAGTTTTGAAAACTTCTCAAGCCCAACAGCAGAACAATAAAATACACAAGAGAGCGATTAGCAGAGGCGCGGAAAAAGAGACTTTCGGACCGCTTAAACGATCAATCAGCACGCGATCGAGCCGCGTAAAAATTACACATAAGCAAACTACCGCAAGCACTACTTGTTTATTTGTTTATGCAAATGAGAGAAGAGAAGGAAAGGGCGTCAAGGAGCAGAGATTTACGGCACCCGCGATGTGATGATGATGATGATTCGCCTTCGAGAGGTCCATTCAAAGAGGCCCACACACCGAATAAAGTACATTTTTCGCTCACCATCTGCCTCTGCGAGCAAAGAGACACGCGTGCGGAGGTGTTGAATTATAACCACGTGAATGCACTCTGCGCAGATAACAAAGAAAAAAAATGAGACAACGCTTGTTTGCATTATTGCAAGGGCCCCGGTTCTGTCACCGAGCCACAAATTTATGGCGCGGTATTTTTTTGCTCTCTTTTTTCCAGCCTCTCAAACAGGGGGATTTAAAAAGAAGAGTCCCACTTTCCATTCTTCTATGCATGCGCCACGTGACGCCCATTGTTTTTTAACTTTGCTTAATTATGTAATCCGCTACAGTGGGATTAGTTTTTATCTTGATGACTTGAGCTCTGCTTGAGTGTTGACCCCTCGTCTAACAGAGCTTAAGGAAGTGGAAATTAACCCGCAAGACAAAATCTAGAAGATTAATTCTCCCTACACAAATTAAGACACTAGAGCAGCGCACACTTAGCTAAACTAGTAAATAAGTTTAAAAAAAAAATGGTCAAATATTAAAAAAGGTCACAAATTTAAATTTTTTTCTCAGACGATCAATTGTCCAGTTTAACAAAGAAGTGGATAATATAATTTTTTTTTTTATTCAATTGCAAATTTTGTTCAATTTTGTCAGTTCTTGAGATTTCATTAAATTTATTACAATTAAAGTAATTAGAATCAAAAGAAATAATAATTTTTAATATGAACAGCTTCTGAAGTTCCTCCTGATCTATATAATAACCCAGAAATCTCAGAATGGAAAAAAATTGAAGAATCACGACGTCTTAATAAAAATTCGTGCCCAACTAACACGCATGAGCTTGCACTTTGCACTCTTTGAAACAACGGACTACTTCCTCGCCGCTCTTTTTTCTCCATTAAAAATAAAACCCACACGTTAATTGTGCGTGAGAAGCGAT